GGTTGCCATGGTTTTAATACCACGAAGGGATTTTAAATTTACTCTCTTAGTGTTTTAATCTTATCCTATCTTTTTAAAAGGCATATTTCTATATAACTGATCATCAATTTTTAAAGGCCTTGGTGTGACCCTAATTTTCACATTTCAAAAAATTCAATTTCAATTCTTTAAATAGTGCGTTGCTATGGAAATAAGGTGAAAAAACATGCATAAAAATCTGAAAAACACTCTGTTTCCTTGGATACGTACCCTTGTATGTAGATTCCCAAAACTTTAATGATTGATATATGTGAACAACTCACCTGACTTTCAATTTTGACTATCACCCAATCTCTAACTGGATGCAAAAGACTGGCACATAGGGTCTAATATTGACAAAAACTTAACAAAATCGAACATTTTCTCTTCTTGGTAACCATAGCAACAGTGTTGTAATTTTTAACAACCTTTATCAATATATGATATTCAACTTTAGTTCTACGAGATAAGTACTATTAAAGGTGATTCAAATAATATTTTTCTTGATTAAAAGGTTAGTAAATTCCTAAAACAGCAAAAAAATATCACTTTAAACAACTAGTACGTTGTTTCCATGGTTACACTGCAAAGTAACAATTAATCTCAATTTTTCTTATGTTGTCGGTGTTGCAAGGTCCTAAGGATGCATATGTGCCAGTCATGAATTTTATTGTTTTTCCTCACGATAGTAGCATTAACCCAATCATAGCAACAGATTTTGCATGGTGACACTGTGTTACCATGGCAACCATGAAAGTTATTTTTAGAATAATATTGTCAATACCTAATTACATGAGGTCAAGTATTTTTCATTGTTTTTCTTACGTTGTTAATTGAGTTTGATCATGTAACATCTATCATTTGTGACTATAGAGCGTTTTTCAGCATTTTTCAGCATCTAAAATGTATTCTAAATGTACCCATGGTTACCACTTACTAAGAGATAAATTCTAAATAGTTTCTTTATAGCATAAGTGGCAACAAGGTGTCATGTTTTTGGGAGAACAGTTTGTTTGTTTTTCTTAGTGTTTATTAAGGCTTTATAAAGATTTAAAGTAGCTGAAAATCTCAATTTTTTCAACTTTTCTGGCTGTTGCCATGGCAACCAAGACACATAGCAAGGAAATTTTATTTGATATATGTTTCTGGTGTCAAGTTGTAATAATGGGTAAAGTTTCATTAAAATCGGTGACCATGCGTGGCAAAGAAGTTTAAGTGGTTACAGAGAATCGCTATTAAATGATAAGTGAATCACTTCTCAAAAAAACCCTCTCCAAGCATGTTTGTAAGAGGCATAGCATAAAATCATGAACTTACATGAATTTACCAATTTTGGAAGATGCACTCTTGCTCATCATAACCATCATAACCATGCATTCAGTATGTCTACATATTACACAGAAGCAAAAAGAAAGGTTTTCAAAGAAAAAATAAAGCATTTATTCATTTTCACTATATAGAGCCCAGCCTAACAGCGAAATCCCTGATCAGCAGGGGTCATGAGTTTTACAACTTTGGTAGAGGGCCTGTTACTTATTATGACCATGCCAACAATTTGGCTCTCTTTAAAGATTGTATTAGTTTATGTTTGGCCGCAGTCCCCAAGTTGTAGGGGGATGCGGACAATGAAATGTACAATCTTTGTTTCCCCTGCTTCGTATATATATAAAATACATGGCTACTGTCTTGAAATATGAGCCATATTTGGGCGAGGGTAAGAAAACGTGATGGAGGGCGAGGCTTGCCGAGCCCTCCTTCACGTTTTCGATCCGAGCCCAAATATCGCTCATATTTCAAGACAGTCATCATGTATTTTGTTTATCCTGCAATATATTTTTACATATTACGTCCGAAAGGAGCTATTTTCAACAGATTTAGGCACATCTCTGCAGTTGAAACTAGGACGCCACGGCGTAAACATTGCAATGTGTATGACGTCATAATGCTTTTAGAACGTCGGAATACATGCACGAGGCTTTATTAGGGCATTGACCGAATAAAGGTTACCTTTATTAGGTCAATGCAAGGGGTAGTTGCAGGATAAATTATATGCCTAAATTGATTGGAATTCCGTTCCAGAGAATTAAGATCCAATGTTATCCGAAGACTGACGACACACAACAACGGATGAAAACAGATAGCAATAGGTCCCTTGAGTGACTCAAATGTGCATTATTGGAGAGTATAAAAAGTTTAAATCATTAACTGCTGTTGTCATTAAAGTAACATGTAAGATTGATCATTTTTTTGGTGAATCAAAATATCTAATGCTAATGTTAAATCAATTCACATCATCTTTGCAATAGCTGTTATATTGTGAAGAATTAAGACAATCTTCTTCTTTTTAGGGCGTGGATTTACATATTGATTTCTTATACTTGCTACCCTCTCGACAAAATATTGTCATATTTTTTTTTTAAAGAGACACTGTGACGGAAATACGGGAAAATGGACAAAAGTAGAATTTTTGCAAGACACACACAAATTTTATACAATTTTTGAAAGTATTAGGTTTCAGAAAATCACAGGTGCCAGAACCTAAAAATAAAAAAAATATTTTAATGGAGAAAAATGTTAGTAAAAATAATTTTAGTTTGCCCCAACACGAAAATATTGTTTCACTTCTTCCTCTTTAAGGTACATTGTACGTGTACGCATGCGTAGAAAAGTTGAAGAAGTTACCATGGTGTCAATTCAATAGATATAAATGTCTGATGACCGAAGATTTTGATTGAATCATCCAAAAAGATGATCAGAACTTATTCATCATTTTTGATTGCTCCAATTCAATGTTGTTTACAAGTTTCACGCTAAAAATAAAAGACACATGACCTTGACATTGCTGACATTGACGATAACATCCACGTTATAGATACAACTTTTCTTTTTCCGGCACTTACATTTTGCAGTCTTTTCTTATTTGCTTTAACCGTGCAGTTGAGATCTCAAAACTTCGCCTTATTCATATTTCTCATAAATCGTTATCTTTATGATACAATTATCTTAAAAGAAACACGTGATATTGACTCACTATGTACCTTTAATGTAAAAAATCAAAAGCCATAAATGTTTATGTACACTTGTAGGTTTTCACGTCTAGTTCAAGTTTCATTTGGGTGTGTAGTTGTGTTTATTTGTTTTTTTTTTTCTGTTTTTGTTTGTCCAAAAAGAAAAAAGGAAAGAAAAAATGAGAAAAATGAGTCCAATTTTTGAGCGGGTTTCAACCCTAGACAACTCTTCTAGAAAAAATCCTTGGTATGCCCTTGTAAAGAATAAAACATTTTCAATGATTTTTAACTTGTATTCATAGTATGCATTATTGCTCTTATAGATGATTAAACGAGAGAGAGAGAGAGAGAGAGAGAGAGAGAGAGAGAGAGGAGTATATTTGTGTACTGAATGTGCAAAAGATATTTATCCATTTTCGGGAGGGTTTCGAGTAATCCAACCTTAGCTTTTAAGATTTTCTCCAAAGAAGAAATGTCCATTGAATTTGTATAGGTAATTGTTATTCTCCCCTTAAAATGTCCTTCGCCCATTATATGCTGAAATGGCAATGGAAATTTTAGCGCCTGTCAGCTCACTTTTAAAATGGAGGGAAAACAATGCCTTTGTGAAGCAGACTGGAATAAATATTTGAACTTCCTTTAAGTAACACAAGAATCAACATTTCACTGGCTACGATTTCAACTGTTACACAGAATCATCCCAACTAATTATTACATGTATCTTTTAAGACTAAAATCCATTGATTCTTCAGCATGTACTTTTTGTAGATGTGACAGAAACAAGTGATCACTTATTTGTCGAATGTTTTCATGCTTAATATTCTTTGTACCTTTGAAAGACTAAAAATATTACCTGGTAAATATGAAAATATGAATGTTTATAAATTGTAAATCGTTTTAACTTATAGTTAAACAATTTATATTTACTAGTAAGTATAAAAGGGTTCCAAAATTAAATGCTGATGCTGTATAAAAGGGGAACACAGATTTAATTTTTATCGAATAGTTTTTGTTGTTAAAAAATGGTAGACATGATGAATTTTAAAGGCATTGGCAAAATGTCTGTGATTTTTAAGTACTTCTGATTGTCTTCTGATTCAGTGGAAATGTCAAAAATTTAGACTGATCAATTACAGTTTTGTAAATTATCTAACATAGAACAATTATTTTCTCTTATTGAGCCCAGTCCCCCCTCCCCTCCACCCAAAATAAAAACTTTTACAGTATATATAATGTATTTAATATTACTGGATATGATGTATAAGGGAGAGTTGAATATTAACTTATGTCTTAAGATGAACTTGTGGAAGTTTTAACAGTTAAAACCAACTTCAGAGTATATATTTAAGATTTGGAATTTCTTTTCTGCAGACCAGTTTAAACAATGATTAGGTTCGACATGCATACAAGTCTATGTACCTGCTGATCTTACCATTTTAAGAATTAAACTACGAAAACACGATACATTGATTTTTTTTTTTTAGGTCTGCACTTAATTTCCATATATGGAAATGTAAAGAAGCCATGCAGGTACAAGGTCATGCGATATTTTTAAACATCTACTATCAACACCTGTATTTTTTTTTTAAATACCTTCCCAAACATATTATTTATTTACCTCTATACGTACGTTTCATTCTAATTGCTTAAATAGCGATATATCGCGATTTTTTATGATTAATTTGGCTATGTTGTGTATTGTTTATATTATCATGAGGCCGTACTACATATTGACACAGATACGAGGTGATTTCCCAGTGTTTATATTTAGATTGTGTACTGGGTCAGGTAAGGATCGAGCAGCCAAATAAGGAAAAAGGTGACAATCTGCTCCGAATATGGCAGGACCAAATAAATGTAGTATCAGTTTACACGTTTACACTATTAGTCTTTCGCAATATACCCGTGACTTCTAATGTATAAAAGAATCAACAGATCCCATTTGTTTAATAAACCTGTGCAGAATACATTCTAAACTCAACTTTTCACGTTTCTGCTATTCATGAACAGAAAATACGGATTTTAAATTTTAGCAAGAAATGAATGCTAACGAGATTTTTGAGAAGTTCATGAAAGCAGATGATTGTGGGAGCATTTTGGAATATTTTGATAACCTCTGTGACGAACTGGATTTGAAAAAAATTAAAAATAAATTGAAGCTGTTTGACCATTTTTCCGCTAAAGTGACGTCCTGGCGCGCCAGGCCACTTTTAAGTAAACTGACCAGAAAACGAACTTTTGAAGTCTATCAGAACAATCAAGGCTGTCAACACGCAAAGGTAAGTACAGGTACTCATTATGTATATTTACATCATTCTAAACATTATCAATACATTAATAACATGCCTAAATTATTGGGTCATTTTAAAAGAACCTTTCTTGCTGAAATTTCTTAGAAAAAATAATATCTCTTGATTGGGGGACAAGGCAAAATATGCGATTATGCAAACTGTATAGGAAATACACGATAAACTAAAAAAATGACACAAAAGCTACATTTTAAATTTGTCAAATTTTATCGATCTTTTTTGCCTAATAATGGTTTGAACATATTTTATTGTATAAATAATATACAAATGGTTTGAACACAAGTTCTAACATCTTACATGTACGAGGTTCTCACCATAAATGGCTACAACTGTCAAGGTCTATATATAGAAAAAAATTCTAAATGATAAATCAAATATGCCCTGATTTACACGAAAGTTTAGGACTATTGTCTGAGAGCTATTTCCCTTGTCCTCATTGGCGATCTTTTCCCGTTTCCTTTTTCAGAAGAGTCATGAATAAGAAGCTTTTTAGAAGTATCTTGTATCTTGTATCATACAGTATTCAATCATGATTAACCGCCTTACTCATACGTCCCTAGTTAAACTAAGTTCTTAAGACATTTTTATTTTTGATAAGATTTTAGTTATTGGTGCCGGGCCATGTGGCCTTCGAACGGCCATTGAGGCTGCGTTGCTAGGTTACAGAGTGGTTGTCATGGAGAAGCGCTGTTCCTTCTCACGTCACAACACCCTTCATCTCTGGCCGTTCGTCATCGAGGATCTAAAGAATCTAGGAGCAAAAGAGTTGTTTTCAAAGTTCTGTATCGGAGGAATTAGTCACATCAGTAAGTAAAAAAAGTTCAAAAAATTCAATATATCATTGAATATTTTGGAATATTCAATATGTTTGATAGCTGAATATGGAATTTATATTGAATTCACGAATGGAACAGGATTTTTTTTTTTTTTTTTTGGGGGGGGGGGGGGGTATATTTTCATGAGTGCGAAGCATGAGTGAAAATATCTAAAATAAAAAACCTGTTTCAAGAGTGAAATAAATTCCATTCTAGGCTGTAACGTCATAGTTGAACGGTTGAGAAGTCACATAAATCGAAAACATTATTGTAAACATGGATTTCAACAATATTTGGAGAAACTTTGGTAGTTAAAGTCTCTGCCAGGATGATTTATTCGCTTCCTCTACCTTATAAAAGGCCAGAGAGTATTCGAAATAAATAATTTTATGTTACATAGACCATACATAGGGATAGACAGATTTGATTTGTTTTACAGCAAGTAAAAAAAAACGTTTAGTGTGCAACTTTGCCACAATGTAAATGTTTTCAACTGGGAAAGAAGAGGGGGGTGGGGGGGTGTGCGTAATGTATCTATTGAATTCAAAACAAAGAACGGGGTGTATGTAAAAAGGGTAAGGGAGGGGTGTCCACAGTGATCTGTGAAGTTGAAATAATGTTTATTGGTTAATTGCAGTAGTTTAGTTTCGATAAGTCCTAAGATATTGATTTCCCTTTCAGGTATCCGGAGACTACAGAGTATATTACTTAAAGTAGCGCTGTTACTTGGGGTGGAAGTGCACACAAATGTGGCGTATGATGGTCTACTGGATCCGCCCCTAGATAATCCGGACGGTAAGTGTAGAGTCGTGACTAAATTTAAAGATTATGACAAGATAGATGTGTAAACTTTCTTTCCCATTCGCATTAATTACAGATGCAAGCTATGCTCCTATTATGTTCAGATTTAAGAAGAACTTCGTTTGTATGAAATTCTGATGAAATATTGAATGATATACTTAAAACATTCATTAATATGAATATTGTTGGCACCATGTCTGTGGTCTCATCCCCCGCAGGGAAACCGTGTTCAGAAAATTCAAAGTGTAGACATGGTTGTCAAGAAATGCAAACTACGAATAGAAATGAGGAGTATAATTTGTTTATTTCCTTACAGTGGGTTGGCGGTGTCGGTGTACACCTGAAGACCACCCCTTATCTGATTATCAATTCTCCGTCATTATTGGAGCAGACGGAAAAGGCGAAACGCTACCGGGTGAGTTCCCTAAAAAGATATAGTTTACTATAGTTTACTATGGTTAACTATACTTTACTATAGTATCAAAGTTTTGCTATAGTAAATCAAAGGATTTTTTACTATTGATTTCAGATTGTAATATTTTATGTTCTCGAATTCATACATGCACGTTTTTTATATTCAATGATTGAAACTATTACTTTATATTCACGTTTTATTTACAAATTTTTACATCACTGTTACCGAACTTAAGAGATTTGAGGCTTTGAAATCTTGAGAAAAATTCCAAGAGTAAATTTTCATAGTGAATCAAAGTATCAAATTATTTACTACAGTTAACTATAGTAAACTATAGTAAATTTTTGTAACGGTTCTAATAAATATATAAAAGTATATTTTACAAATTCATTGTCTGGATTTATAATCCATTGATATCAAAATACATGTATGTTCCTGAAACATTAGCAATATTTTAGATAACTTTGGTTCAAAACTGTACTTATCTAATTAAATTATTAAATTATCTACAGGTTTTGTTCGAAAAGAAATACGTGGTCCCCTAGCAATAGCAGTTACCATAAATTTTAAACGGAAGTATACCAGTCAGGAAGCCAAGGTTCAGGAACTGGGAGGATTAGCCGTGTGGGGGAAACCCGAGCATTTCCACAATCTAGTAAATAAGAAAGACATTCTGCTGGAGAACTGTGTTTATTATAAAGGAGAAACACATTATTTTGTGATGACTGCTTTAAAACAAAGCTTAATTAAAAATGGCGTTTTAAAATCAAACCAACCAAATGCAAAGGCATTATTAGCTCCGGACAATATAGACAAAGCTAAACTAACGGAGTTCGCCTGTAATGTAGCGGAAGTGTGTACGGACGGTCTACTTCCGGATTTAGAATGTGAAACCAATTATCGAGGTGAACCTGACGTCGCCATCTTTGATTTTACTGCTATGTATTATTCCGAGAGTGCGTCACGTGTTCTGGTGAAGAACGGACACAAACTGTTAATGGGACTTGTAGGGGATAGTTTGTTAGAGGTAAGTAGAATGTTAACTAATTCGATGTTAAGACCTGGGAGAAATTGATTTCTGAAGGTTTCAACGCTAGACATGGAAATCATTCAATCTTGAAATGGGGAAACATTTGTGGGCATCATTTGTTGGAGCTAATTTTCAAGTAATAAGTATATTATTTATCAACTCTTTTATTGTCTTCATATTAATTAATTCACCAAATATTTTTGTATCATTTTATAAAAGCCTTTCTGGCCATTGGGAACCGGATGTGGTCGAGGCTTCCTCTCGTCGTATGACGCTGCATGGATGATTCGTCAATGGACTTCCGGTGAGATGTCGCCACTTGAGGTCTTAGCAGAAAGGGAAACCATATACAGTCTTCTGAGTTCCTGTATGGCTGCCTCCGTGTGCAGTGATTACAACCATATGACGGTGGACCCGAAAACCAGGTTTGTTAAATACGTCCATAAATTATCGATAGTTTATATCATTTTTATGACAGTAATCTATAGACCAGCCTTTTTTGTTGTATTTTAGATATAACAATTGGAGCGATCTTGTAGCCAAAAGAAAAACACCCGAAATGGTTCGCCATTTGTGCAATACAGAATAGAACTATAAAGTACTAGTAAAATTGTGCACAGACGTGTTCGAGTGGAAATCCGTCCAAAGGAGACAAATTTTCCTGCTTGTAATGTTGAAGTGAGCATTATAAATTGAATGGCTTATTCACTTTTTATATCCCCAGCCGACCGGTCACACCTGCCGTGTTCTCCTTGTCCTTATCGGGCAAACGGAAAAATCCGTGGACAATTCAGTGTGAAAATATATGCCTAAAAATTTGTATGAAAAACATTTAACTAAATGATAAATTGTATTTGCTGATAAGGTCATTGTATCGGCCATAACATTTACAAAATATTGACATTAAACTGTTGATATTCTTGTTTCATGAATTTATTTGTCAATAGCTTGCCTCCTTTAAGAAATTGTTCAAACATAGAGCATGCTCTGGAGTATCGAATCAACCGGTAGATACAAACTCCATATGCAGCAGATAATGGTTTATTGCTACTTAAATAAGGGATGTTGACGATAGAAAAGTTGTAGTCATCACGTTTATCTAAAAGTTTTGTTGTTAGGTTGCAATTAACGTCTTTTTCTAGTAAAATATCCAAATATGAAACAAATGTATCAGATTCTGCGGTATCTTTTATTTCGAACTAAAAGGGATATGTCGAATCAACGTAGGAATGAAAATGAATAATGTTAATTAATAAAACGTCGTCGATATATCTAAATGTTGAATTAAAGGCCACGACAAGAGACTTTTTCTTTCCAGGACGTTTTTGTATAATTCTGCTTCATATGAATACAAAAAGAGGTCTGCTGATTATAAGCATGGGCACCATTAGTACCCTTGGGAATTCCGACAGATTATTGGAAGACTTGATCTCCAAAAAGTACATAGATACTGTCAATACGAAACTGGAGCATCTTTTTCAATATCAACTTCGGAGTACTTGTGTGTCAATAAGAATTTTTTTTAACAAAATGATTTTGTAAATAACCAATGACATTGTAAGCAAATTATCGAGTTCCGTTTTTATTAAAAAAGGAGTTGTCTACTGTGTATGATGTTAAAAAAGCCTGGACTTTATTTTATCGAGGGGGGGAATGGTTGCATAAAATGTTAAAAAATTCGTACATTTTAATGTTATTTATTTTGGTAAAATTTTGTGATCTCAATTTTTTAAAGTTTTTGGAGTTTTCAAGAATTCACATCTGATTTTCACCACTTTTCGAATATATTGTTGTACAGTACTCCTGAAGTTTCTCTTTCACTGCTGTTGTCTTTTGAATTATGAAATTGAAAATATATGAAATGTTTTTTTTTTTCTTTATAATTTTTTCCCCATGAAAAAATCCCTACTAGCTCCTCTGCAAACTTTACATATAAATGTTACACATATACAAAGCTTTTTCCAAACACGGAAAGAAACATAATCAGTGCCGCGTTTTGTTGGCCATATACCTTAATTTAGTTGAAACTTTTCCATAAGGCATTTTAGCTCGTCCAATTTCCATAAAATTGACAAAAACTTCAGACCGTCGTCAAAAGGAACAAAAAACTGAGGAGAGTTGCATGGCTAAGAGACAGCGTAATGTAAGGTTGTTATTGCCTCGCAGGAATGTAATACAAAAGATCCACAATCTTTTAAAACATGTTGTTAAACTATACCATTTTTTACATTCCTACATAAAAATACTGGGCCTTTTATAAGGTACACAAAGTGTTTTTATTTGTGTTCAGACAGTGGTTTCTGCTTAGAAAATTTTATATTTTTGTAAATTATGAAAACTACCAAGCTCCATTTTTTTTTTTTTGGAAGAGTCAGTAATTGTTCATATCAAAAAGCCTAATCTTTGATTTTTGTGAGGTAAATGGCTGTACAGTGTTGAAAAGTCATACGTTTTAAAGTTACTGATTTTGAGATTCGAAAAATTCTTTGCCTTTTGTGAAATCCACATTCGATTCACAACACTTCTTGAATAATTTTTGGAACTGTACCTTTACAGTATCTCTTTCACAGAAATAGACATTTTTGTGAATAATAAAGAAAGAATTTGTTAGAATATTGAATGGATCCTGTCTGCGAGTAGCTTTGTTAGGAAGCATTTTTATGTAGATCAGGAATCCAGTATAAGATAGATTGATTGATTGATTGATTGATTGTATGTTGTTTTACGTCCCATTCGAGAATTTTTCACTCATATAGAGACGTCACCATATACCGGTGAAGGGCTTCAAATTTTGACCTTTACTCGGCACTCAGGGCCATTGAGCAGTGAGGGACCTTTATCGTGCCAACGTCCAGTATAAGAAGGATAAATCAAGTATCTGACTGGAATGATAAAAATATTGAAGACTGAAATGGGATTTTGAAGAATTTCATCTTTCGAAAGTAAATTGTGAGTGTAAATTATATTGGGTAGACCTAAAACCAAGTTCTTCTAATACATTGTTGTTATAATAAGCCTCATAAACAAAACGATATTGTTACAAGTTTTGTCAGCTGGAACAATAGATATTGTTCTTGTTGTCTCTATATCACTAATCTCTTCCGGTTTAATAAGATAGAAGGATAGATAGTTCGTATTCGACCCTTTTAACTCTCTAAAACGTTTCCTTATTATACCTCTTAAACATTTTATCCATTCAAAGTGATCAGGGTTTGCCTTTTAAATTTTGCCCATCGTGTGACGTATTCGTCGACAGATATCATACAAGAAAGAACAGGACATCCTACGAAGAGGGTTCAAGGTCGCAAATGTAAATTTACAGCGTGTTTTAATGCTAGCACAGAAGACCTTTAAAGGTATTTTAAATGACTTTTCTGAATAAACGAGCTCCGTCATAATATTACACCGCCATGTTAGCGATTAACCACCAAAAATTAAAATCGGTGAGTACGTATTTTTATTCCATTTTTTATAAATCTGTACACCGAAGCAAACGAAAGTGTGTATGTTTATTTTTTTTAAATATCATATCTGTAAAAATATATAACAAAAGACATGATATTGAGTATCTTCCTGCTACACATACAAATTGCTTGGGCATCTAATCAGACAGGAATAATAGTCTATTTATTTTAAGTCTTAGTGGAATATGATATCCCAAAGTTGTTTTAGTTTACGATCTGTGTGTCGTTCATCGAAAATGAAATAAGTCCTGTAGGATATTTATATACTAATACTCATTTTTGTATGACCTAACTTGTTCATCGGAGACAGGGTCAAAGGAAAAGAATAAAATTCACTGGAAAACGAGATTTGCTTTCAACTTTTAATGAAATAAGCGTATGTAAGATTTTTGCAGCACTTTTAATTGTTTTTCGTGTAATTTGCAAATGGATATTTTTTTTTAAATGATGAATACATTAACTGCTATTCATCATTTATTTGACAGTTAAATATGCAGTTTTATTTGAGCAAATCAATTTTCAATGCTTTAAACATAGAATTTAAGCTGTGCCATATATTTTTTTTCTAAATCGAGTGTTGCGATTTGGTCCTTCAAAGTGTTCGACAATATTTATATATATATTTATATATATTTATATATATTTAAACAAACATTATATATCGATTATCTTCTGATATGTTACGCCCAAATAAGTTTCATTCAAAGTTTGAACATTCTGCACTGGATGCTTTTTTTTAGAGTAAGTTATAACAGTTTTAAAAATTTTTGCTTAATTTTAAAGCATAAATATAATATTTATACACGATGGCCGATGTTTTTAGATGTGCAGGTTCACGTTTGTGTCTTTCAAGATAAGTGCTGAAAAAATTGCTGAGACACTTATGTGACAGGACAATAATGATTTTTCTTTTCCTGATATAATTCTTGCATTCCTTGTTTTGTTTCATTTCAAATTTGTAGAGGTTTTACATGTAATATACTCATATAGCTCCTCGTGTCTCATATTATCAGATATTCAAATGATTGATTGTATCTTGATTTACGCTCCATTCGAGAATTCGTTATTCTTATAGAGACGTCACCATATACCGGCGAAGGGAATCAAATTTAGACCCATAGTTGGCACTCGGGTCTATTGAGCAGTGAAGGTTTTTCATCGTGCCAACGCCTGTCGTAACACGAGGCCTCGGTTTTTAAGGTCTCTTCCTGCGAACGAGATCGAGAATTGAACCCGGTACCTCCGTATCACGAAGCGAACATCCTACAATTAGGCTTCCGGTAATATTCATGTTTGAAAGAAAATGTTTCAAGGTATAAAGCAGTCTCTGATCTTGTAATTAGTAATGCTTTAAAAGAATCATTATTATATATCAAATTCCTAAAACTTTAAATACAAACACAAATTAACGTAAATATTTAAATAAGGTAAAATTCATTTTCATCCTTTCAATTCTTTTACATTTTTTTTATTTCAAAAGGAGTAATAATATCTTTATTTTATAAAAACCAGGTACAAAACCTGAAATCAATGACAATAAGACTGGCGTTTGCTTAACAATATTTACTTATCAAAAATGAGAAATATGATATAGTCATAATTTACAGTGCTTTCTTTTATATATTCCGGTTCTTATAACTATGTTTACACTCTGTATTTTTCTTAAAGTGTTGGCTAAGTGGGAAGACACCCTTTGAGCAAAGCGATTATAAATTGGGCCGTATTTTAAGTACTAATGTTTTTTAACGTTTAATATGGGAACCCCTATTGATTCGTCTGCATAAAGAAATTTGCAGTTCTTTCAATGCTCCATTTGCAAGTCAAATAAGATCTGCTCTAAGTTCGTCTGTTTTGCACCATGGTACACCGTAACTGCTTGATAACGAGATATCTCCCGGTGTTTTAAATGTACACTACATAGCTAACTAACAAAAAAGATCTATATCCATAAACCTTGACAGCATTTATGGGTAATTTGAGCTTCAAAATATCTGTCTTTTTGTGGGTCCTTTACGTCACACCCATTAATATCTTGATCGAACTGAACAATGATAAACAAACATTCTTGGATTGAAAAATTAAACCAAGATAATTGTATGTTAATATCCAAAAGCTTATGCGAAAAATCATGAAAACTCTCCACAAGCAATTTTCAGGTAAATTATAGATATTTTGCATAAAAAGCATACTAGGCTCAAGGATTCCAAATACGAAATATTTTTTCTTGATATCTGAAAGTATGGGGTCATACAAACCGCAACCTTTTTGTTTCTGCTGTCAGGCATATTGATCATTTAAAAAATCAGTTTTAGGCTATTTTTAACGAAAATTACCGCAATTTGATAAGATTTAGAGGATTGGAAAATCTTATATAGGGAAAATAAAAACTTTTGTACCCAAAACATCTTACATTCAAATCTTTAATCCCCCCCCTCCTCCCCCTTATTGGCCATCTGCAATATTGACTTTCCATAAATGGCTGATTTAGCAAGAGTAAAAAGTCTTCTAAAATATAATAAGCGCTTATAATGTCCCTATAATATTTTGTAACCACTATTCTAGGTTAAGGAAATACTAAAATATCAAGCTCGGCAAAAAATAGACCTATAATAATTAAGGTGTTCACAACATAGGCATTCAGCAAATGTTTTCATCCTTAAGACGTAACAAAATGTTTATATGCATGTATCTGATTTACACGGACTTTCACAAAATAATCTTTTATATTCCTTTTAAACATAACACTAATATTTACCGTTCTAACATTTTTTTGAAAGTGCAAGCTTTACAAAGCTCAATAGGAGACTGTCATTTTAATGAGAGAGGTAACAAAGAGGGCGGTGCCCATCCAAATGTTGACAACTATTAGAGGAGAGTTACCAAAGGGGAATAAACTCCTTCTTGTATTGCAGAAAGAAATTAAAAAAGAAAAAAATTATGGCTTCAATTTTTATTATATGTACTATTTATCTTTTAAAAAAAAAATATTTTTATAATATCGGAGCACAATGTCGCCCAACTATGCAATTTAAATTCATTTACAAGTTTCTTAATTTATTTAAAAAAGTTACCAAATTCCGTGTATTTCACCAACATATTCATTACTCCTACTTATTTGTCAAGCTTGAATTTTTAAAATGTAACTAAACCAAGGCTTATCTGAATTATAAAAGCAATTTTTGAACAAAATATTGTATATCTTAAATGAAAAGACATCTGAAAGTTTACCTAAAAATGTCTATCATTTATGTGCAAATGACCGAATGATAAGTTGTATTTACTAATAAGGTCAAACGACCATATTATGTACAAAATGCTGACTTTCAACGACGTTGTTGAAATCCATGTACCATCAACTTATCTGTCAGTAGCCTGCCTCGGTTTAAAAATTGGTCGTACTCAGAGCATGCTCTTGAGTATCGAATAAGTTGGGAGAAGTAAATACCATGTGTATTAGCAGACTATCACTTCATAAATAAGGAAAGCTGATGATGGAAAAGCTGAAGTCATCTCGTGTGTCATACAATTAAGTTGTTTGTTGGTCCTTATCCTCTATAGTCAGTACCTCACGGTAGCTCAGTCGGTAGAGCGCTCACTCCGTGATCGATCGGAAGATCAAACCCCGGCCACGACTGACTTGAGTCGATAAAAAATAGGTAGCATCCGTTCCTTCGCCAAACGCTCTACACTTTGAAGTGAGAAATCTTTTTCTTTGAGGGTCTTTTATATGGGACCTTAAAAACCGAGGCCCCGTGTCACGGCAGGCGTGGGCATGATAAAGGTCCCTCATTGCTCACTGGCCCTGAGTGCCGAGTACAGGTCTAAATTTGAAGCCCTTCACCGGTATATGGTGACGCCTCTATATGAGTAAAAAATTCTCCAATGGAAGGTAAAACAATGCATAATCCCTCAATCAATCTACAGTCAGTAAAAATCCAATATGAATAAGATTTCGCAGACTACGTGGTGTCTTGTCTTTGGAGTTCACTTGGATAAATCAAGTCTAGATATGAATGAAATTACTATTGTTAATTGATAAAACATCGTCGATATATCTTAATCTTCAAATATCTTGAAGGCCACGAAACTTTCTTCTCAAGAAGAAGTTTTTTAATAAAGTCTACTTCATGGAATATAAAAACAGGTCAGCTAATTAGGAAGCACAATTAGCACCCATCGAATTTTCAACACTTGATAGACTTTGTCACCAAATACTATATAAATGTTGCAATTGCAACATTTACACTAAACCCCTGACCCAGGGGCCACGAATTTTACAGCTTTTGATGGGGTATCCTTGCTCATCTTAACCATGCAATTAGTTTGTCTGCTATATACCCATGGACAGAGAAGAGTGTTTTGTACGAATTTGTGCTTTTTACTATATGATCAAGAGAGCCCCACCGTAGCACCAAAAGCCCTGACCCAGCTCAAAATTTTGGAAGAGGTATCCTAGCTCATCATAACCGTGCATAACCATGCACTCAGTCTATCTGTTTAGTACGCACACACAGAGAGGAATGCGGTACAGTTAACGTGCGCAATGGAATTATCGGCGATTTTTTTTTTTATGAAAAATACCTTCTTAATTAGAGTGGCGATTCTTTTTTGTACCTTACTAATGTGGAACAAGATGTAATACGGTTATTAACTATACATCGCGGACGATTACATTTTCTTTTTAGACTCGTCACATGATGTGGCAGTCATGTGATTTTGGTTAATATACTGGAAGTATAGAGGTCATCAATGAATTCCAATAGTTCAAGGGGAAAACTAATTAAAATTTAATTTATAAATATTTTCAACAGCCATTGTAGTTTATTGAAAGTTTTGCGATACTATATAAAATCAACTATTCAATTGTTAAAGTTATATTTATGCATGTTGTATATTTTGCTGGTCAATTGCATTAAATATATAAACAATTTATTCATTTGCAAGATTTCACCAGGTTTGGAGCACTTCTTGAAATAGCTTAATACTCCTAGAGTTTTTATGTAAAAGCTTAACATGAGTGTATGCTCTTGCACCATATTGATTTATTAGGACCCTCACATTACCCATCTATGTATCAGCATACATATTGTACGGGATCAGTTTAACATGGAATGTACGGATATGTGGATATGTGGGAAAAAAATCTTCTAAAAAAAAAATAATCATCGAATCCAAGTTATTGGTCTGTTAAATACCTTCAAATAATATCTTATTTAATTATGTAAATCATATACGGTCCGAATTTTGATGCACCAGATGCGCATTCGACAAATTATGTCCTTCAGTTATGCTCATTCCGAAAGGTTGGAAAACCAAAACATTTAAAAAAAAATTGAAGAGCTGAAAAAAGTGCCAAAAATTGCATGGAGCCAAATACGTCGAAGGATTAGAGTTATGCATGAGGGAGATTATCCTTAATTTTGAAATAAATTTCTAAATTTTACCACAGCAATTAAATATATGTCCGTATTTTTAAACTAGTACCGAAGTACTTAGCTATTGGGCTGTAGAGACCCTCGGGGACTAACAGTCCACCAGCAGATGGACCACCAATGCAATCTTCGTTGTGAAAAATTTACTTTGGTTCACCTCTCTCTCTCTCTCTCTCTCTCTCTCTCTCTCTCTCTCACACAGAGAGAGAGAGAGAGAGAGAGAGAGAGAGAGAGAGAGAGAGAGAGAGAGAGAGAGAGAGAGAAATACAAACTGTTTCAAATTTTACAGAATGGCCTCGCAAGTGAATTGCGATTGGTGCATTGGTTTGAACTATTTACGTGGGGCTAAAAAAAAAAAACGACAAAACAGTACGATATAGGAAGTTTTTATGCAGTTTAATGCAGTTTTATGCAGCTTATTGCTTTCCTACAGTTTAAAGTCATTTAATTTTATGATATTTTTAAGAATTGTTTGTTAGTTGTTGTTAAGAATTGTTAGTGCATCTTCACTATATGAGCTATACAGACGGCCCTGATCCTGTGGCCATGACAAATTTGGTAAAGGGCTCAATGTTTATTACAATTATGTAACATTTTGACTTCTTGATGTCAAGGAGTAAAGAAGAGTTTTAAAGACTGCATTAATTTTGGTAGTATTAGCCCCGACCCTCAGCTCACAGGAAAGGGGAGGACCACAAAATTCATAATTTTTGTTTCCCTTCACCCATGGATGATATATGCCAAAATTGTTTGAAATTGGTTAAGTGGTTACAGAGAAAAGGCTGAAAATGTTCAAAAATGTTCAAATATAAAAATACGAAGACGGACGCAAGCTGCAATAGGTCACTTGAGTGACTCAAATGTCCTAAAAAGATATTTTATATAAACGAAAATTTCGTAGATAATTTTTAAATAATGGCTTAACAACAAGTATATCAGATGGCAAAACGTTACCAATTGTTTACATTTTACACTACATTTTGAGTTTAGTACTTTCACAATGTTGTTTAATTTTCCAGTTAAGCCTGTCATTTGGAAATAAGATCATTAATTTTAATTGTATCATTTCTTTCATTTAATGAAGACAAGCAGCCGTTCAAATTTTCCTCTGACATTCTTGATATAATCATATATTGCGAATATAAGTAATAAACAACGTTATTCAGAGAACATGATGCTATGAACAGCATGCATTTGCTCTTCAAACATATCTAAAATGACTTCCTGGGCGTCATGCAGAGCAAATATTGTGCGTTACACCATGCTCAATATAGCAAAAGCTTTGGCATTCATACGCCATATTATTATACCTCATTATATTTATTCTACACAACGCGTTATCTGATTGGTTCTAGATTATCACGTGATCGGGCCATAAAACTTCACATTTCACGGTCGTCGGCATGCTTTTCATCATATTTCCCCGCTTCGGATACCTAGTGCATTTTCCCGTAATAGTTATCGTTCGTTGAAAGAAAACTCCCGAGAGTAGTAGACGTACGTCACAATAGCCTGGTTTACGTTACAAAATTGATGATAAGTAATGCGTCAAAGAGTTTCAGTAATTTTCGTTAAAAATGATAGTGAATTTGCGAGTAGTGCCGAATTTGAAAGTTTATGTTTATTTCAAAGTTTTTGCTTGTTTCGGTATAATAAACAATTCATTGCATGAATGTTCGGGAAGTATCAAGATTTATTCAGTTTGTTTAAAAATACCAAATTTATGCAATTCAAATTTAGTGTACAGACATGTCCGCCTCAGAAGGTGGAAAGTGCTGCACTGTATGCGTAAATTCAGTTTACGGGCGAAATGCTTGACTTATATTGCACTCTTCTAAACAAAATTTCTGACTTTAATATTTTTCAAAATAGTCTAAGTCTTAATCGGAGATTTTTGTTTTGTTTTATTTTACAAAACATAAGTAAATAGCTTAGTTTATCAATACTTTTAATTCTACTTATTTTTTCCTTTGTCTACACTATTGTACGAGCACAATATATTTACAAGAGTTATGACCCTGATGTGATGCGGGGAGAAAGAGCTCTTATTTGAAAAATGTTCAGATATATGTCTATGTAAATGATATACAATGTTCAAACACAAAGAATTTGATACATGCAATAAATAATGTTGGTACCTTTTTTGGAACAGATTCACTGGCTTCAGATGTAGAACAGCGGAAAGAAGAAATAAACGAACTGAAACGTAAGTCGTCAATCTAAACTTCGAGTTAAACATTACCATTTAACATTTGACTTAGAAATTAGGTGTACAATATGTAGATTTGTGTTCCCCTTTGTAATGTTTGTTTTTAATTGGAGCACCGATCTGCGGGTACGCTGTAGTGATCAATCTGTCTATCCATCTCTCTAATAATTTTGCGTAAAATCTTTGTCCGGAGGACATTTTCTCTCCCCTTGGCAAAGTCCTGCTAGAACGTCAGCACACAGTGTCTATGAATAAAGAGTGTGCAATGACTGTGAACAAAAATTCTTTCGAAGCTCTAGATGAGAGTAAAATCATTGTTACAAGCATGCTTCTTCCCTCGTTGTCCAGTTTGGCTTATACTCTAACCATAGAGTGCTTGTAGTTTGATGGTTTGCAATGAACCGATTTTCTTGATGTGAGGTCAAGGGCATTGTAGATCACTGTATAAAATCTTTGTCTAAAGTATATATTTTGCCAACAGCCCGATCTGCTCATTCTTCATCCATTTAATACCTGCTTGTAGAGGGTGAATATTATACTCAATTAAACTCAAATTAGTATATAATGTATTTATATTTTTTGTTAAATTTGTTCAACTTTGCTCATTTCAGGTAAAGTAGAAAGCATTGAAACTATCGGTAAGTTCAATTCTTATTTAGAAACAAAAACTGATATTATTTCAAAATTATTTGCGATTCTTAATTTCCATTAAGAGTATAAAAAATTATCATTTTTGCTTCCTGAATTAACAAACTGTTCAGAACCAAAACAGTTCATTATATTCAAATAATACTTTACTTTGAATTCCTATCTCCTGCGAGCTCATGCCGACAAGCATCATCATCATGCAGAATCAGAACAGTGGGTGCTTTTACGCTCTTGGATATTATTTTATATATTATTTCTTATTTCCTTTGTACGAGTAAAGTATTTTTCAGTAAACATTTCTGTTACAATGTAAGTAGCAGCCATAAGGAAAAGACTGTTTGACAATGAAATATAACTGAATGAATGTTAAAAAGTTTTCAAGGCATATTAAACCCTACTGCAAAAAAAACAGAGAGAGGAATAAAGGATAAACATTTGAATGAAAGTTTGTTTCCCACTTCGCTGAATTTAAATGTCTCACTCGACGTATTAAAGACTATATTAAACTTGTAATTGAACAGAATATTTAAATCATAAGAAATAATTGAGCAGAATTATAAAATCATAAGAGATAACCATTAAAAATAAAAATATATGTTTTCTTTTTAGATATGAGTATCAAAGCAAAGATAGGTAAGGGTTTGATTTTTATTATTTTGAATTTTATTTTAATACATGTACATACAAAAAGGAGCTTTTTAAAATATCAAAACTTAACAGACAGAAAGTCTGTTTTTGTAAAAGTTTGGCTTATTTGACCTGATACTAGTAAACCAATCTGAACGTTTTTCTTTATTTAGATACAACGAGAGTTGCTTTGGAACGTCAAGAACGTCAGATCAGTAATGTATTCGTTCACACACGTGCAATGAAGAGAGTGTTTGATATTCTAGACACAAATAGGTACGTTGTTATCAAAGGTAACCTGGGAGCCGGAAAGACCACGATTGCCATGCACGTCCTAACAGAATTACAGAAGAAAGGAATGGCTCCACTACAAGTGACTACGGTTCAAGATTTATATGGATCCGTTTCACCATTTTCAAACGTCGCTTTATTTTTAGATAATTTATTTGGAGAGTTCATATTGTCAAATGAAATAGATAACTTTGACTCAAAATTACATTTAATTAGGGCAATTTGCAGTAATGACAACACTGTCAAGGGAAACGTTTTGATTGTAACAATTAGGAGTGATATCTACAATGAAGCAGCGGATAAGCGTTCAATCGGAGATTCATTTTTTACAAATTCTGTGGTTGATATATCTAATGGAGATTTTCAACTCCAAAATTTAGAAATGATTGAATTCTTCACAAAGTATGGTCTTGATAAATTGCTAAAATCCAATACTACGTTGGATATTGTTAAGATTGGGAATACATTTGGAATCCCCCAATGTTGCAGACTTTTGAAGAACAATCCTACTCTTTCTGAAGACATCTTTGGTTTCTTGAAGGATCCAATTCAAAGCTTAGAAATGTATCTTAAAAACATTTTAGATAGAAAGGAATGCAAAACAGCAGTTTTAGTCTATATTCTTCTTTGTGGGGGAAGTGTGGAAGAAAAGGTTTTGCAAACAGCACTACAAGACGTACCTAGAAAAAACAAAGCACTTGAAATTATTGGAGCCAAAAACTCAACCTTAATGGATTTTCAAAATTCTATTTATCATTATCGTGATTCCTTGATGACCTACGACACCATTGAAGAAAAATATAAATTTAGTCATAGCTCAGTACAAGAGAGTTTATTCAAATGTCTAGTCAATTTTTACCCAAAGGAAATTATCAAGAGTTGTGATCATGTCCTTCTAGAGAGGTTAACAACCTGTAAGAATCTGTCCTGGAATTCTGTTGTAATCACAGAAGAATTTTTTCAAGACATAATTAAAAGATTGCTGGAAATGTTAGAAGAAATGTCAATTTCTGCATTTCGGACAATCTCTCGTCTACAAATATGGAAAGATGAGAAGATTTTGTTTGAGTGTGAAAAAAATCAAACCTTGTTAAATGGAATCAAACAAAATACTGATAGTTGTGGGCAAACAATGTTAGTTCATTTTTGTGTATCTGGTAACATTAGATGGGTTAAGTATCTATTGCTCTCATCTTCTCAGGAGCAAAGATATATGTCTTTAAATGAAGCTTGTGCTCACAATCAGAAGGATATTGTTGACTTGATTCTAACTACTGATGTTAATTATGACTTAAAAACTTGCTTTCATGCTGTGCAAAGTGGAGATCTGGATATGCTGTATCGATTTACTGACACTGTAGACCTTAATGAAAAAACATTTTCTAATCATTTTAGATGGAATCAAATAGAATGTGGTTTACTACACGAGATTTGCTTTTTTGGCCAAAATGATTTAATACAGCCAGTTCTAGCACGTTACCCACATTTATTTGATGTGCAAAATGATCAGGGCGAGAACGCTCTACATTCCGTTGCCTTTGCTGGGGATGAAACAATCTTTAAAAATATGATTAAGAGTGGTTGTGACCCTTACAGTAGGTCTAATCATGGTTCCACGGTGCTCCACTATGCGTGTCAAAACGGCAAACTGAACATGGTCAGGTATATTTGTGACACTTTTCCAAATTTACTTTCTCCGGATTATAATGACAACGAAGGTAGGTCTCCTTTACACTGGTCAGCTGAATCAGGAAACATAGAAGTGTATGAATATTTCATAGAAAAGGGTGTAGAGCAAACATTCACTGATGGTCAGAGTACACCATTACACGAAGCTTGTAAAACGGGAAAACTAGATATGTGTAAGTTCTTAGTCATTACTTATCCTCAATTAATAGACCTCAAAGACAATAATGGAGAGAATGCCTTATATGCTGCAGCATGTATGGGTAACATTGAATTATTCAATTTCCTGTTGGGAAAAGGCTTCGATATCGAAACTAAAAGAAATGATGGGAAAACTGTGCTTCACCAATGTTGTATGAACGGAAATTTAGATATGTGTATGTTCTTAGTCAATACTTATCCTCATTTACTAGATATCAAAGACAATGATGGAGAGAATGTCTTACATGCTGCAGCTTGGGAAGGTAACATTGATTTACTCAAATTTCTGTTGGAAAAATCTTTTGATATCAATAGTACAAGAAATGATGGGAAAAATCTGCTACATATGTGTTGCATGAACGGACAACTGGACATGTGTAAATACCTTGTCAGCACTCATCCTCATTTACTTCATGTTAAGGATACTGATGGAAATAATGCCTTACATGATGCAGCCTCGGGTGGAAACATTGATTTATTTAAGTTTCTGTTGGAAAAAGGCTTTGATTTCAAAGTTTCCGCAAATGATGGGAAAACTGTACTTCACATATGCTGTATGAACGGTAAACTAGATATGTGTAAGTACTTAGTCAACACTTATCCTCCTTTACTAGATGCCAAGGATGACTATGGGGGAAATGCCTTACATGCCGCAGCCTGGGGTGGAAACATTGATTTATTCACCTTTCTCTTGGGAAAAGGCTTTGACATCAAAGTCAACGCAAATGACGGTAAAAATGTAATTCTTTTATGTTGTATGAACGGAAACCTGGAAATGTTTAAGTACTTGGTCAACAAATATCCTCATTTATTATATATCAAGGATACTGATGGAAATAATGCCTTACATGCCGCAGCCTGGGGTGGGAACATTGATTTATTCAAGTTTCTGTTGGGAAAAGGCTTTGACATCAAAGTCTCCGCAAATGATGGGAAAACTGTGCTTCACATATGTTGTTTAAACGGACAACTAGATATGTGTAAGTACTTGGTCAACACCTATCCTCATTTACTAGATGTCAAAGACAAGGACGGAATGAATATCTTACACGATGCTGCCCGCGGAGGCAACCTTGCTATGCTAAAGTTCGTGTTGGAAAAAGGTTTTGATATCAAAACCAAAAGAGGCGACGGGAAAACTGTGCTCCACTTTTGTTGTTCGAATGGAAAACTAGATATGTGTAAGTATCTAATGGAAAATTATTCTCATCTATTATACATCAAGGATAGCATTGGAATGAATGTTTTACATTCGGCAGCTTGGGGTGGTAACATTGATTTATTCACCCTCCTGTTGGATAAAGGTTTTGATATCAAAACCACAGGAGGCGACGGGAAAACTGTGCTCCACTTATGTTGTATGAATGGAAAACTAGAGATGTGTAAGTACTTAGTGAACACTTATCCTCATTTACTTCATATCAAGGACAATAAGGGTAACAATGCGTTATATGATGCATCCTGGGGTGGAAACATTGATTTATTCAATTTCCTATTAAGAGAAGGCTTTAAAATTCAAACTACAAGAAATGATGGGAAAACTGTGTTACATCTGTGTTGTATGAACGGAAAATTGGATATGTGTAAATACCTAGTAAACGCCTTTCCTCATTTATTGAATGTCAAAGACATATATCATCGAACAGCATTAAATCTTGCCCATCTGCATAAATCCAATTGTGTATCAAATTTTCTAGAGAGCGCCGTTTCTAAATCCCAAAGAGGACAAAAGCGGAAAGAAATGCATCTTTAAATGTTGCATGCAAAAGAAATGGTTATTTATTTTCATTTTCATTTTTTTTTTACTTAGGAAGAGGTTCTGGGAAAAACAAATTATATCAAACATTTTGATCTAAGGTTTGCATTTATTAAATATCTTTATTTTTAATAATGTTAGATTGACATTTTGCCCTGGCATGTTTTTTTTTTTATACTTACATTCTATTTTCTATATGCTTGTTCACTTCTTGTGACATCATTTTAATTCTTTCATGCAACTCTTTACCAAAAAGTTAACATGTCTTCATGCATTCAAATTGTGAGTAATTCTTGCTTCAATGTTATAATTATTGTCTAAAAAAGCTATTTGAAGTGTTTTGATATACAGTAAAACTTGTTGAATCCGGATGTTGTGCATTCCGGCATGTTGTTCAGTCCGGCGTAATATTTTAGTCCCCTGAATTTTCTTTATAATTTATGTTCAATAATTGTTGTTCAATCCGGATCTTGCCTATTCTGTAAACCGGCCGCTATTTAAAGAACTAACTGATCATAATTAGTACAAATTATCTCCTCTAATCCGGCCACTTATTTTTACCTGTGCCCGCTGGTCATTAGAGAAGTCTCGCGTGGGGTAATTATTGTCCCGTTAATGAACTATCCTGCATCGACAGTTTAGATTTTAACAAACGTGATAAAAAAAATCATTAATGGCTCAAGTAAGGCGAGGAAATTAACTCGCAAAAGAACGAGTGATAGTGATGGTTGCGTGTAGCATGTTTGCAGAAAAACTTGGAGACTTGTTCATGACCTCCTTTCTACTTTCGTTTTGCGTGCACGAAGTGCAATTCGAATTACTTCCCTTTGTGTCGCTAGTTTACAACGACCATAACGACAGAAGATTTTGGTTCAAAATTCATTAAAACATTTGAAATTAAGTGTCTAAATATTCAAACATATTACTTTTAAAAGAAAGAAGTTAATGAGGAATCTGTCCCAAACAAAATAATGTTTACGATGAGGTTTTGGGGTGTGTTTAAAACATTTAACGATTTTCAAATTTAATAAATGACCGAGAGATATTATATTTCGTTACTGAATACAAAAACTTAAACAGAAATGAAAATTCTAAAGAACAAGCAGAGTTTAAAACAACTGGAAATAGACGATTTTTTTTTCAAGTGAAACATCAAAAATGACACATTGGATCAAGTATTTATTTACCACTCTTTGATTTTTAACTTGCTATAATGGTTCAATTTTCTCCAATCCGGATGTTGTCTAATCCGGCCAAAAATTTTGGAACCACTGGTCGCCGGATTAGACAAGTTTTACTGTATATATATATATATATATATATAGAGAGAGAGAGAGAGAGAGAGAGAGAGAGAGAGAGAGAGCAAAGCTTGTTTATTTTATGTACTTATGTATAACTGTCATATTTACTCTTTTCCTAACAAGTATTGATATGAAAAGTATACTGCTAAGTAAAATATAACTTTTCAATATCTAATGCAGAAAATTTGTGTTATAAAATATCGTGAGATTCATAATAAATGATATTCTCCTTACACTGCATACATTTAATTTTTGTTATCAAAGTGTCGGATTCTGTTAACAAGACTGCAACCATCATAGTCTTTGAAACACTTAACTTAGTCCAATTTTTTTTTGCAAATAAAGTAACAAAAAAAAAAAAAAAAAAACAATTCTGTTAAAAGACAAATTATCTCAAAGTAAAACAAGGTATATAATTCTAATTGATGTAGTAATTTGCCGCATCACCTGCATTTAGTGCTTATGTCTCCCAACTTATTAGATACTCAAGAGCATACTTCTAGTACGATCTTTTTTTAATCGAGGCAGGCTACTGACAAATAAGATCATGTTACAGAGATTTCAACGACCTTGTTTAAATCAGAATTCCGTAAATTCTCTGGAAAATTAAATATCTGTAAATACCTAGTAAACACTTCTCATTTATTGAATGTCAAAGACATAAATCATCAAACGTATTTTATACCAATTGTTAGGCCCTTGTTTTTATACTGTACTAGGGTTGTCTGGTAAAATCGTGGACAAAGTGTTTTTATCGAAAGTTAATAGGCGCACCATGCTGAAATTTTCAACAAATGTTAATTTATCATAATTAAGTACATCTTTTTTTTTTTTTTTTTTTTTTTTTTTTTTTTTTTTTTTAATAAAATATAGACAACAATAAAGATTTTATTATGCATGAAAGTGCACAGAGTATGGTCCTATGGCGCACGAAAAAAAAATATCAGGGTTTCATTAAAGAATACACGAGTATTATTTCGAAATAAAAGTATTAAATAGATAACTTTGGGGTAAAAATTATCCTATTTTAAATTCACTATCTACATGTATTATGTCGTCTTTTGGAAAATTTCAAGGCAGTTGCTAAATTTTTGGCAGTTTCCCGAGCATTTGAAATGGGAAAGTGGTAAACACGATACACGAAAAATGGCGACATTTCATGACGTTGCGGCGCACCGGAGAGCATTCAGTTTGATTTTGATGTAGTTTTGATGCACTAAGAGACTTTAAATGACTACAGAAGAAAAAAAGTAAAAATATCACTAAATCTTTAGTATAGAAGTGAAATGTTTCTAGGCGGAAACTTTTTGATCGAGTCCCCACGTAGAACAAAACATACGGAGAAACAGCTACTGGCAATAGCGAAAGACGCTGTCACTGAAGACCCTAACCCTACCCTGTCGACATAAGATTGCCTTTTTAGTTGAATGATAGTGATAGTACTGTCCATAAATTACTAATAAAGCTTCAGAAGGTGTGATCGAGATTGGTTCCTCAATTGTTTATTGAGGAATAAAAGGAAACACAAGTATGTATATCAATGAAATTCACGAAATTAAGGACCCTCTATACACTAGAGGAAAATATTTTTTGGACATTGAGAAAATTATAGTGTGTAAAGGTGTAAGTATTGAGCTTATCTATCACATTTTCAATATAGGGTGCCTTGAATTTACCCCCAGGAAAAATGTTCAAAGACAATGAAGTACTGATGAACATAAATCACTGTTGTTTACTTAAGTGGGCAAAATATCTGCAAATGAAGTGTTCTATCTATTTATCTTGGCTTATTAAAGTGTTATGAATGCTTGATTTCATCAAAAATTAAGTAATAAACTGTACATTCAATTTATTTTATTCTTGATCAAAGGGCAGATCACTCTATCTGCATAAAAATACCACAAAATCAGAACTGTCTAGTGTGCAGTGTATAGAGGGCTCTTAAGTGGGGCTTATCCAACTTTCTTTTAGCAAAGAGGAAACGTGACGCTTCTTTAGATATTTTGACGTTATCATCCTTGCGCCGTAAGGCGATTCCACACGTAATATAAAATCTCATATTTTGTTTATTTGAGAATATATCGACTTGAAATTTGCTATGTATATTGATGAAGAATGTACTAAAGAGTAGTGAAAATTTTAGAACGCAGTAATGATTATTTTTCGCTCTAGACAATTTGTCCAAGATTTTACCGGACAACCCTCGTATTTGACTAAGAAATATTCCATCTATCTGATTAATACATAAGACTCTTGGTGGGTGAGTAACGGTCTGCAGGGGATGCTTACCCCTCCTAGGCTCCTGATCCTACCTCTTAAATTTTCTGGGGTCCGTGTTTTACGCCTTGTTTAGAGATTTAAAAAAAAGATTCCATTGTTTTCAAGTTTTTTTTTTTTCTCGATTGATCACTGATTTCTTCACCATTTTCATCTAGTTAATAATGGTTAAAGAGGTATCTGACCAAAAACGAAGGTGCGTGGCAGCAATTGCTTTAATATGTTTTTTTTTTTTTTTTTCAATCTTACAAGTGACGATTTTATTTATCAAAAAGGTAGCTTCAAGAATTCCTTTACTTCATTGATAACGATTTTTGAAAGATTTTATTAAAGCTTTCATAAAGTTTAAGGGAAGTCCTGAACATGCATCATATTATTAAAATATTTGTACTTAGATTTTAGAAAATTTATGGATGTCAGAAAGTAAAAATTTTATATAAAATGGGTTTAAAAGATGGTTTTGAGAGAGAAAAAAAGAATTGAAATTGTATATTTACATTTGCAAATGTTTCCCTTACAACTCTTCGATCCCAAGATACACTGTTTCAACTTAATGACATGGTGATCATGTCGATCTCAAGATACACTGCTTCACTTAATGATATGATAGAGTGATATTTTAATTTATTTTAATAAGTGAATATTATTTATTTATTTATTTCAGTCACTTAATATTCACCCATATTTTATTTTTTTTTAGTATCGCGCAATGTTTTGTTACGTTATTCGCTGAGTTTTGCGTGAACCGTTAATAAAACAACATTATTTGGTTTTTAATTTTAAATACTTATGTTCTAGAAGTTTTTACTTTCCCTGAGGGTACATAATATTATTGGCCAGTTTTAATATCCATGGTTTCGATTGGCTATAGGGACGTTTTCCCGCCGATCAACAGTCTCGTTTGAAGTCACCTTTTCGCAAGTTTTCGGTCGATACAATGATCTTGTCAGCACACACAACCTATCATTGAGTCAAATGCTGACTGACGTTTTTCATACTAATTGTTAGGCCATTATCTATACACTGAACTGTCTACGGATTTTTCCGGTTTTTGTTTCCCGATCATGACAAGGAGCACGCGGCGGGTGTGACCGGTCGGCAGGGGATGCTCACTCCTCCATGGCACCTGATCCCACCTCTAAAATTTGAGGTCCGTGTTTGCTCTGCTCCAAATTTGTATCGTTTCATTGGACTTTCGAGATTGAATACTGTTCGTTATCTTCATATTTCAATAGACATCGATAGACCGTCGAGAAAGATATACATATTTTGGCCATTCTTAATTATAAGAAAATTAATACTGAGGCAGACCTCAGGGCAGAGACTATAAGTTAACTGCTATTTCTAATTCTAATTCCTATACTTTCCGATAATTCATGCATCTTTGATTTTTAATGTTATATTATGAAGATATATATATCAACTTTATCACCGTTAACTGAAGCTTAAAGTATAAATTCTTTGAATATGTTATTAAAATACCAATTATGCAGAAGTGTATTATATAGAATATATCTGTTGTTTGATAGGATTATATCTATTTAAAACATTAGTATAACATCATCTTTTGTTCTTTTAAAACTTTCTGTTTCTTGAAAGACCAAAGGCAATCAAATAAGTTACCTGTAACTGTCCAATAAGTTAAAAATCTGTCTATTACTAAAAATAATGGACAGTATTTAATAACTTATTGGACGGCTACAGGTAAGTTATTGGGTTAAGAAAACACAACAAAGACATATACATATACATACATATATATATATATATATATATATATATATATATATATATATATATATATATATATATATATATATATATATATATATATATATATATATATATATATATATATAAAGCAATGAATCCTCCAACATGTTTCACAATGTAATGAAATATGTATTTCAAGTCACAGAAACAAAAAATGAAAGTTTGTAATTGTTCCAATAAATGATGAAATGTATTCCAACAATGAATGTCAAAACTTAGATTTGAACGAAATATCTCTGAATGCTATTGGAATTTAAGTGCACCAACAACACAACGGGAATATAACTTCTTTTTAATGCCTTCATGGCAAGAATCAATCGCTCCTTCTTCTTTCTCACTAGTACTTTGAATAATTTTGTACACTCTCTGCAGGAGCACATCTTTCATTTCTTCTTTTATAGGAATGCAAGGGTGTTCGGTCAATAGTCTTCGGCTCTTCTTCCGATTCGTTTCTGACTTCAGCGACAAAAAAGCTTATAATTTTGTTGATTTCTTTATCACTCAACACCTTGACGTCCTTAAGCATGAAAACATCAACATTGGGTACTGTGTAACATTACCTCTGTCAGTTAAAGAACAGTCACTGCCCACTTACATTTCTGCTCCGTTTTCTACGATAAGCCTCTTCTAAATCATTTAAAAATATTGTTCATTTAATTACGGAAATCTTTCTACATTCCCTTTTGCTTTATTTTTCATACTTGAAAAGCCTTGACCAAAAGTTGAGAAATATTTTTAAAAAAATCCACTTTGAGTTCGAAGTTCATTATCTTGATAATCCTAAGCTCAAAATCCAAAATATCACTTGAGAATGAAATCTGTATTATTACTAGATTGCCCATCATATCTGAATATCTTTTGCATCAAAAATATGCTTTCTCGCTCGGAAGCTTTTTAAGAAGACGTGTTTTTAACATTCAGAATCACACGAAAATGGTGTTCGAATCTCACACCTTGAGATTAAATATTCTTTTAATTAGTCAGTTATTTAAAATTAGCACTTACCTGTAACTGTCCACTAAGTTAACAATTACACTGAATGTAAGTTTCTTTTGATTGTCAGCAACCTTTACCTGAGACAGTCCAATAAGTAGACAATGCTTACTTAAGGTATGTCACTCGTCAGCTTTTTAGAAAATTTCAGGCAGAACCTCTTACTTCAAAACTATTTATCAAAATTCAATTTTCCTAACATATTTAAATGAAATAATGTAAATTGTTCAACATTCAATGAAAAAAATGCTCAAAAATTCATAGAGAACCAAGATTTATGAGGGACTATTTCTTGTGGTGAAAGGATATTTAGCAGAAAATTCTGCAAACCTGCACATTTATTAAATTTAATATCTTGGAACTTTAGCCTCACATACTTTTACTTAGAGAATATTTTCCGTTATGATATGCTAGGAATATTAAATATAGGTCTTAATTTATATTTTTATAACAAATTTTACACCTTCCCTCAACAAACTTTGCCGAGAAATGAAGATATATTAAAGAAGTCAAGATAAAATTTACACCGTTTTTGGCCTGAAAATCGCATATTTTGACCAATATTTCAAAATTTACATCACTGACCCCAACTTTTTCTTTCATTATTTAAAACTACTCGATACTTGTGACTGATCAGCACTTAAGTCGTAAAAAGTTTGATACAAGAAAATATTTATTGCCTATTTAGATTTTTGATACCCCAAATATGTTACTTTTTTAGTGCAAAAAGGTCACACAATAATTTACACGCATTAATTTGCAAGATTTGTTCAATGATAAATATTATTCAAACTATTCTACGTAAAATAAGATTATATTTATTGCCATGGTTACATATGATAAAACATGATAAGGGTTAAAGTGATTAACCAAAGAGTTAAAATTTAAGTGTAAAAAGGTCAACTTAATTGCACCGTAGCTCAGTCAGATGCACACTGACCCCCTGTTTTCTCTGCGATTTTGAGTCATACTATATGAGTACATATCCAAAATATACTTCTCAAAAAATCCTTGATATAACAAATTTCACGAGTGACATACCTTAATTAATACAATGGATGAGAAACAATTCTAAGAGAGTACATTATGAACACAATAGAGTAAATTTTTTAAGTAGGTTATAGACTGAAAACTGCCCATTCTGGACATTGAGAATGACATCCTAACGGCCCTCCAACAGTTCTTTCTTCTCACACAATTGTCAGTTTTCGGCCTATAACCTTTACATAAAGGCCCGTTATTTTGATTGGGTGATCTATTGTTCGAGCCTTGATCCACAATCAGGTATATCTGCTATTATTTTCTATTTATTGTGTATATATTATTGTAAATAGATTTGTGAACTAATCATTTTATTTTAATAGTTCTTTTTGAAATAATTCGATATATATTCTTGTTTTGAATCGTGATAACCCACCACCCCAACGTGCAACTATTCTCCAGACATTTTTAGACACAAACCAACAATCAATTCCTGATCAAGCTTGGCTAGAGAAGACAAGAGGGAATAAATTGTAAAGTCACGTCTGGTTATTAACACATTTTATTGGAATACATTAAGCATCAGGACTTATATAATTTCTGAATGAGTTAGAAACCAGTTGATGAAAAATGTTATTCATGACAAAAAGCTGCAACAAACATATATATGTTTAACAAGTACAAGTATGAATACAAACTGAGCATTAGCAAAAATAGAAAATTATTAAAATTAATTTAATTTTCTTTCACAAATTAAAACATGAAATTACAGATATTTATTAAATATCAAATAATATGTCAGCCTTTCCCCAAATCTAGTTCATCTGGAAAAAGGACATATCTATTCACAAGGGAAAAAAATTGTTTTGTAATGCCAAAACAGATGTGCATTTTTTAAAAATCAAAATATGCATTTCCTCCAAGTCTTTTCAGAATCATCAATATGGATATCAGATGTTTCCTAGTGTCTTACACATACATACACTTAACTTATTTCTTAGTGTCTTAAACATACACTCATTTCCTAGTGTCTTACACATGCACTTAACTTATTTCTTAGTGTCTTAAACATACACTTATTTCTTAGTGTCTTACACATGCACTTAACTTACTTCTTAGTGTCTTAAACATACACTCATTTCCCAGTGTCTTACACATACATACACTTATTTCTTAGTGTCTTACACATACACTTAACTTATTTCTTGTGTCTTAAACATACACTTAACTTATTTTGCACATTTATGACTGTCTGGTGATGTTACTATTCATTCAGAAAATGTCTGAAATGTAAAAGCTCAAATGATCTGCAGAATACTATAACAATCTAAAAAATCTTAGCATTACAAATCAAAACACTTTTAATATTATGAATTGTTTACACTGTTTTTGTTTCATTTAAATACATTCAATATATTACAATTCAAAATATAAGAAAATCAAATGTAAAATACATGTACTTTGGTGCTTTATCACAAACTCTCTTCAGTTCAACTCTCATAAATTTTATCCCAATCAGTCCTGATTTTTTTTAAAGATTTGATTAGAATGACAAAAACATACCCCGATCTTAATAGTAAAAAAAAAATTATTTTATCAATATCTTTTACAGTTCTGTTTATGCCAAATAATTTGAACATTTTTCTGTTTATATCAAATGTATATTTTTAAATGTTTAAAAATTTGGCATTTTTTTCATTTCATGTTAAAGGGCACTTAGAGATTAAGGTCAGTTTTTTATTTTATTTTATGCTGACACGTAGCACACATTTCCATCACCAGTCGTTTTCATCACTGTCGTCATCGTCCAGTCTACTTTGCCGTACAGCCGAGTCCATGACGTCACGGATTTCACGTTTAGGTGGACCCTCCAATTCTGTCTTCAGGACCCCCACCTCTGATAACATCCACTCCAGTTCTACAACAAAACATGAACATAAAAGACACTTAAATTGACACAGATATCATAATCTTTTTCTCGATGATGTTATTTCATTTTTAATACAGTCAGACCTTGTTATATGGAACTCTATGGGACCAAGGAAAAATCAAGATATACAAGGGTTTGGAATATCCTGGATATGAATACAGTCAGTATTTTCAACATAGAAAATGAGTTATCTGGATACACTGCCTGGAGGGCAACAATGCTCACCAGAGTCACAATTCTCTTTCTAAGAAGCAGCTATGTACAATCATGTAGATAAATAAAACCCCTCCTAAAATCACAAACCAATTGGTTTTACTTATATAAATAACAGAATATTGTACCTAGTAAGTGTCACTTTTACAAACTGTGGCATCCTCATTTTAGCAAATGTCATAATGATCTTTCTGTGTAAAACTTTGTTCATTAATTGTGGCCCCACAGTATTGGTAGCCCTGAAACTGTGCTTTAAACAAACTTGAATCTATATTACATGGGAATAATTGCTTATCAATATGATTAATGTGTCCCTGTTTTCTTGAGGGGATAATTTTCAAATTCTTTCCTTACTACTTGTGAAAAATGCAGTCCTGACCATGAAATGACTTGACAAATCTGCATTTACACTATGTAAAGATGCAAAATATTTAGGTCCTGTTGTTTTGGAGTAGCTTAAATGGTTGTTACTATGTCCATTCTAGCCTGGAACTATGTTTAAACAAAACTGATTCTACATAGAGATGCTGTATATTGAAATCACTAAATGTCCCGTGCTGTTCTTGTGAGGATATTTATTTGAAAAATTTTTCCTATTTGGCTCCCCTTTATAGCAGGGGGCAAAATTTGATGAGTACCACATTAGATATGGAAGCTGTATATATTTTTGTAAACAGATTACAGGTAATACACCTCAGATGAATGCCAGACACTCACTGCTCAGAAATGGCTCATGAGCTAAAAATAGTAACACTTTCTTAACACTAAACATATAGTCAAGTGCAATTTATAAGAATAGCAAGGTACATGTAAATCATAACTGTTGCTGAGCCATTTTGAATATATTAATTCACAATTATTACATATCAGTTATTCATACCATCCTGTTTAAAGTTCATGCCACCAAACACTAGTGGTCCGACATACTGCTTTTTGAGGTCCCCCTCAAAGTATATAAATATCGTAGGCAGGTTCTTATCTGGGTAGTTAGGAATGCATACACTAGACTCGCTCCGTAGGAACTTTACATCAGGAAATTTCTTTGCTAATGTTGATATGTGTTGATTTAATAATTTACATAATGGAGTTCTGAAAGCAGAAAAAAAAATGTAAATAATGATTAATGCATGCCATATACACTGTATATAAAATATTTATTCCTCTCAGAGGGTCAATTATTTTGAATAGTAATTGATTAATTATTTGAAATTTTATGATTACGAATAAAATTAAATTAATTCTTATTTGGATAGTAATTGATTAAATAAATTACAATTACTTTTTCCTAAATAATCTGGACTGCTCTCAATTTCCACTTTTATGGAATAAATAATTATTAGTTTGCTATCTTTTGTACATGTTCATTGGCAGAATATCTTTCGGTATATACAGATGTAGGGCTTAGGATATCTGTGATGCTTAACTTCTTGCTACCCATTCTACCACTCTCCTCCAATCATTATTGGGCAAATTTTAAACACAGAGCTCATTTGGCAAGGAGAATATTAGAATGGGGGATCAATATACCTTTAGGTAAATTCAGAACTGCATTTTTTTCCTCACTTTTGAGAAGAACAACTGGGATATGGTAAAAAAAGCTTTGTAGCAAGATTTATATTTATCTTCCCAATGCTTGTCTGAAGACAGGACCCCCTCCCTCCCCCATCCCCCGAATATAACCTACAGATTATCTATAAAGAAAAGGCAAACAGTTGAACTGCCCTTTATTCTATATATAGGGAGACTGGGGATGTCCAAAGTCCTTCACAGCAAAATTTCTTTATCAACTGAGCTGTAATACACAAACAAATATAATTGTTTGTTGATGTGCAGAACTTGTTCTACATGGAGGTACTTACGATTGTTTGTAGACATGTAGCACAACCCAGACACCTTCCCCGGCTTTGTTGACCTCCGTTACATAATCGACCTTGGATATTTCCTTGACCTCTCCGTACCGAGCCTTCATTTGAGCCTGTCGCATCTCCGCCATTCTTTGTCTCCTAGCGACAATAAACAACAGCATACAAAACATAAACAATATTAACAAAATCTGAACAATCACAGTAGACATAAAACACTGCTATCTACGTCGCACATATATTCAAAGCAGTCTGAGATTATAAATGATACAATTTCTTACAAACTACTTAGTTTCTCAACAAAATCTTAAAGTATTTAAAATCTATCTTTATTGCTTTCTCTATTGGAACAAGTGAAAGAAAGTTCAACTCTCTATAGTGTTTCTAGTGGAATAATTTCATTCAGACAGACAGAACAATACATTATCAGGTGATAATCATCACTAAAATTGCCAAGCATAGAATAATTAGAATTGAAAGTTATACTGAATACAAATTAAAGTATTCAATCCCAGACTGAATCCTTCTTTTTAATAAAAGGGACTAACTGAAAATGTTAGTGTTAAACCCAAACCCTGAATACTGACCTGTAAACATTTACAGGTATAAAATACTGACCTGTAGGCCTCAAATATCCTCTCTTCCTCCTCATCAATTTCATCTTCTCTTTCATTTAACTCATCTAACGTCATATCATCTAATGATTTATCTACATAGAAATTTCATCATTTTAATAATTTTAGTACATGGGTAAACAATTCCTATGTGAAAAAAACATATATTTTTCAAAGCATTGGAATTATGACAGCCCTATAAAGAACTGCTCAATGTTCAGACTCTCAGGATCTCGGCTTTAACCTGCTGAGTCTTACATTGTAAAAAGGTTTTATTTTGCCTGTCATTTTAAAACTTGTATATAAACATAATTGCTTATAAAAAACATTTCAGATACTGAGATAGTATGTTTGAAGAAAATAAACCTGTGGTTTTGCTTTGGATAGTGGCTTCCATGATATTAACAATATCCTCCTCTGAGACTTCTTTTTCTTTGGGCGGAATGATTCCCTTTGCTCGTAGAACATCATTCCACTCGGTGTCCGCATTAGGGTCCTATCAAAGGAAGACTCAGCATTATTACTCACAAGAATCCCTGATTATTTTAAATTGGTATGACTGTTTTTTTTTCTCTTTTAAAATCAGTGAAAATATACAAAATAATTAGATATTATGACACATTACACACAATAAATATTAGAATACTGGTATTTACTACAATTTTTGATATTTGGGATGAATGTATCATTAAACTTAACAATCAAGTTTTTTTTTCCCCTCTTAACACATAAGATATGGGATATGACAGAAAACAACCAAAAGCCAGGATGTAACCTTTCAAACAACAGAACCTTGCCTTGAGATAAACCAGAAGACGCAGAGAAGTAAGTATTCTCCAACTCTCTGCTCCTCATTTTTAAATGAAAAGTTTTGAACCTTGCCTACAAAGACTGAACCAACATGATTAAATATGAATTTGGGTTGGCCCTACTAGTAATCAGGTAATTATCTCACACTTTCTCAAAACATTTCAATAACATATGACAATGCAAATTATGGATTCCACCCAGACTTTGTCAGACACCAGTGGTATTCTGATTGGCATAATACAATAGGGGGCAGTAATTTACCAATATTACCGAGATTCTGCCTTAAATTTTAACAAGTGCTCGCCTAAGTACAAGTCTGGGAGTCCTGAGCATACATGTACAAAACTTAAGGATTCTCCCCACCCCCATCCCAGGGTCAACAATATTCACAAATAATTATTTGAGAAATGGCTGAAATATATCAAATAATTACTTACACCATCAAGTAAAAAAATACAGCAAGAGAATAAGAATATAAACAAGACTTTTTGTTGAATCCATCAAATTTTTCAATTCCTTTCAAAATAAGTTTGAAGAATTTTTACCTGCATTTTTACGATTGTCCTCAAAGTTCGTGTGAATTTTTTTGGTAACAATATCTTTAACCTCCTTTCAGACTGATTTAATATCTTAAATTATCTCAGTCTATCAGATTGTGTTACTCATAACATGTGTTTAACCCGGAAGCGGCTATATTCGAGTGTTTTCATTTCCTTATTTGGAAATTTTACACGATGAAGCTTAAAATATTTATGAACAGATTTACTATTTCCGAAAAAAATTAGACCGATTTTGAAATACTTTGGTAATATACCTGCTTTGCTTATTTATCTAGACGTTAACCTACAATACCGCTGCAGTAATCTACTTTGATATTCAGTTCAAAGAATTGTCAATTGCCATCCGAATTGATAGAATCCGGAATGTATGCAGTTTAACAAAATTGCTTTAAAATTACTTTTCCAAGATTACTTCCTGTTATGAAATTGGGCGAAAACTCCATCAATTGAACACGTATGATACACGTATGATAGCTGTTTTATCATCATGAAGTCATTTTCCGAGGTCTCAAACACCAGGAATTTTATTTCTAGTAAAATATCTTTCAGCTAACTTGGTGAGTTCCGTAGCTTAACGGAGTAAGGAATCAATTTTCCTATATGGTGCAGACGATTTTTAATAAAATTTTGAGAAAATCCATTAAGGATTTTTTTAAAAAAGAAAAACAATTTTTTTTTTTACTAAATATGGCCTAAAGTTTGTCACAGCTGTAGAACTGTTGCTCTATATCTGCGGGAAACAAAATTTGGACAAACATTCCCAAAAGTGTCAAATGTTCAATCCACACTTTGCAAGATGTAAATTGAATTATGTCCCTTTGGGGGATCATCACAAAGGTTGAAAGAGAAAGAAATAATTAGCATACTTGATTGTGACAATCTGATGCACCCTGATAGAAAATCTTAAAGCTGAACACGACTCATAATTAGGCATATGCATTGTACTATCTATGATATCGGCACTGGGGTTAGGGTTGGATACCGGTACTCGGTACCAATACCGTACCGAATAATTACTTCAAAAATACCGGTAAAATACCATTTCATTTAATACCAATACTAATAAAGGTACTATTTCTTAATCTTAGAAACATTTTAATACATTCAAAATGATTTAAAACTCACTAAAATAGAATCTCCACACATTGAAAGGGTAGGCTAATTAATGAAATGGATGCTATGTATGACTATACGACACTTGCTTTCAACTGCCGATATTCGAGGTAAATCAGTACGTATATCTCTTTATTAAAAATATTTAAATACATTAAAATGAATTGTGTTTTAACTTAATTCATAAAAATTGATAATAAATGTAAATTAAATAGGCAAAATGTCGCAAAAATGTGATATGCATTTCTATCCATCTAATGTTTCGTTGTTTAGTGCGACCAAACAAAATGGGTCCTAGCAACCACGGAAGTTGTGTATACTTGTGATTATGTATCTATTCAAGTTAACTTGTTTGATATTCAATTTATTCGTTTTGTTGGTCATTTATTAAAAGGTTGAAATATAAACATAGTTTATGTTAAGCTCATTTTAGGTTATAACATTGAAAGGTTGATGATTTGTGAAGGTATATTTGTTATGAAATGAACCCCTATTCTCATTTATCAAGGTATAGTAACGTATCGTTAAAAATACTGTATGGTTTCAAAAATACTGGTATGGTATCGTACCATTTCATCCTTAACGGTATCCAACCCTAACTGGGGTATACCCTTTGCATTTGTTACACTTGACTGCTTTATTGTCATGGGTATCGCCATAGAATGGTGACACGTGCTCGTGCTGGTTATCTTACATTGCCTTTGTGTACATCTTATTGTTTGTTTTTGTTTGTGTACTACACTGAACTATGCAACTGTTGTAAGTTTCTTTGGTATTTTTCTTTCCTGCCATGGAAGAAGTACACGGTTTATTTTTTTCACTACCCATTGCTATGTAGCATATGTCTTACACAGGTATCATTACACTGAACAGTGAATGTGAACGGCTTACATACAGGCTCTCAGATATTACAACTCAAATGAAGGAATATTGGCAGACAAATTCCTTTTACAAATTGTGTTCAGTTTTAATTTGGAGCCAGAATAGTGCACTGATAGAGTTGGAAAATTTTGAAAGTGCAGACAGCACAACCAATTTAAAAAAAAGATAAATGACCCTTAGATCAGTGGACAACAAAACACTGAAGGCAACAACAGACACTTCCCCCCATCCCCCAGAAGACCAGGAATCCTGTGTCTACTTTTGATCTTGGGACCTCAAAAACCTTAATTTGTTTTATTTTATGCACAGTTTCTCTTATGGAGAAGCACCAATCATATTTGGGGTTGCACAAGTTTATATAAAGTATACAGAAAATAAGTTGTTGACACAGCCTTCATCTTTGATAGCCAAGGATTTCAGAGGGTTTTAGAGTAAATTCTGGATCGGAAACCCTTGGCTTGTGAAGATGGACACTTTTATGCACATGTTACTTGTTGTTTGTCTCCAAATGGCTTTAAGTGACTGGTTAAGAAATTAAAAAATCTGAATTTGTAATTTTCATAAAAGACGTCAATGCAGTCAGCCTGTAAGAAATTGAATAAGTTTGTCAGGGGTTCCACGGCGTGAGTGAACCTGGGACTCCTGATTTTTTTAGGATGACTTTGTGTTGGTATATATTTTTGTAAGACCCCTGGATTTACATTTATCTCTGTATTATTTTATGTTTTTTTAATAAAAGTTTTGAAGATATTTGTAATGAAAAATATTGTTTTACCTATTGATTATCTGTTTATTATCATTGAACAGATTCAATTTTCATTTTAGGTTCCTCTGATGCGAGTATGGCTTTCTGAGGATGAAAACAACAATGGCTGCCCTGTGTGGGCATCCATTATTTAAAAACTTGTAGCTGGCATCCAGCGTTACTATGTAACTACAACCAGCCACCTCAGTGAAGGGAACTGTGCACACCTGTCCTGTTTATCATACATTATTACTATTATTTATTTTATTCATTTGCTTGTTTTCATTTTTCTTGTGAAAGAAACATTTCCTCGACATTTTTAAAGTTTAATCTTATTTCTAAGTCAACTATTTAAACAATGCCTATAACCTTTGAACCGGAATGTGGCCCCAAGTGCCGCTCTAAGAACCACGCCTATGAATTGGTGGCAGCTATCACCAAGGGAAACCTTCAGGAGGTCCAGGCTTTTGCTCGTTTGTGTTACGCCTCGGGTCACCATAACGACATGTTTGGAAGATCTGCTCTCCACATGGCTGCCTCGTGTGGAAAAGTTGAGATTGTGGAGTGGCTATTGGAGGAGAAAGGTGGAGATCTGACTCTGAAGGATGTGGAGTCGGGATGGACCGCCCTCCACAGAGCCATGTTTTATGGACAGTTGGCCGTAGCTAGACTTCTTATTCAGGTATTTATCATACCTACAGGTTGTGAAAGTTGAATTTGATGTGATAAACTTTCTAAGATAGATTCTTGTACAGTAAAACACAGTAAAACAAAGGATGAACAATTTTGATTCATCATAAAGAAAACTCATTATATCTGATAAGATCAAAATGCATTTGAAATGTTTAAAAAATGAAAAGTGCAGCATTTTAAAGAATAGAATAATATCTCTAAAAATTGTTTGTTTATTTAATGGGGATTAAATCTAACTATTGCAGCATTCTTAAAACAAACAAGGGCCACCAGTAAAAGCCTGTTTTATACACTATGTATGAAACCATTTCTATCAACATTCCCTTTTTTCTTTGATTTCAGTATAACAGTGATTTGTACACTCGTGATCACCTAGGACTGAGTCCACTAGATATCGCTATGAAGGACCGCCCACCTCATATCTCATACGACAAAGGAGGTATCGATCACATCATATATTTATTGCATATAATTTTTGAAACCATAAATTTTAATTTGTTTAAAACCCTGACAGGTAAAACCCCAAAAAGTCCATTCTGTGACAGGGAAGATTATAGGCAGTAATTGGTTTCTAAAAATAACGTTTTGAACTCTTTTAATTGAGTTTAGGAAAAAGTTTCCTTCACAGTTGAATTTCTTCTTAACTTGACGTACTTGACAGTTTTCTATTATAGAAGTATAACATTGTGAATGATAGATGGATTAATTCTTTCTAACACAGATCTCTCTGATGTCTATACTTGGGGAGATAACACCAATTTGACCCTGGGTCATGGAAAGGAGCAGAGGAGAGGTCACCCAGAGGTCATTGAAGAGTTCAGAAGGAATGGTGTCTCAGTGAAAGAGGTAAGAATGGTGTCTCACAGAGATGAGGAAAGAGTTTGTGGGAAAATGGATTCTTGGCAAGGTGCCATTTCAGAAGGAAGAAGGTATACAGCTAATGAGTAGTTTCTGCATTGAAAATTTCTGCAGTTTTTAAATAAAATGATTAAATAAATAAGAGGAAGCAGAGCTTAGGCTTTGATGATCTTTTTTCAAAATATGTTTTAAAGCCTCATCAAAATAAAAAAATAAATACCTAAAATAAATAATATCATATTTACTATTATTTTAAAGAGACACTGTGCCAGAAAAGGGGGAACATCGACAAAAATAGCATTTTTGCGTGACACATGCAAATTTTGTTAAATTCTTGAAGATACTAGGTTTCAGAAAATTACACTTTTCAGAACCTAAAAAATCTACTTTTATAGAGAATATAAAATTAAAAATAATTTTTGTTTGCCCCCACACAAAAATATTGCTTCACTTCTTCCTCTTTATTCTATGCATGCACAGAAAAATTGAAGAATTTACTATGGTGTCAATTCCATAGATGATATAAATGTCGGATGACCGAGGGTTTTCATACAATCTTCAATAAAGATGATCAGAACCTATTCCTCACTTTTGTTTGCTCCAGTTCAATGTTGTTTACAAGTTTCACACTAAGAATAAAAGAATGTGTGACCTTGACATTGTTGACACTGACGATAACAACTATGCGATAGATACAACCTTTTTTTCCGGCACGTACATTTTGCAGTTTTTTTCTTTCTTTACAGTGCAGTTGAGTTGTCAAAACTTCGCTTTATTCATATTTCACATAAATCTTTTTTTTTCTTATGATTCAATTATCTTAAAAGAAACACATGATTTTTGACTCGTTATGTAACTTTAATTGCTTATGACAGGCTGTGTTGTGTAAATACCACTCAGTGTTTCTGACCACTGATGGACAGGTGTATACCTGTGGACATGGTCAGGGAGGGAGATTAGGTCATGGAAATGAACAGACCTATACTGTAAGTAATGCATACAGGTTAATACAGGTACTAACACAGTATAATCTTACAAGTAATTACAGATGTACACAGTATAGTAATTATAAACCACACAGGTATGATAATAATTTACTATAACTTACAGGACACTACACAGTTTAAATAATTAAAAACCATATAGGGAAATCAACAATTACCTTTATATCTGAGTTATCTTCCCTTTGTGTTTAGGTTCCTAGGCAGGTGGAGACACTGAAAGGTCAAATCTGTACTCAGGTCGTGGCTTCTAGAGATCACACAGTGTTCCTCTTGACTGAGTAAGTAGGTCATATATTGTAAAGCTTGTGTTATTACATCATATGGATTGAATTTGTATCTTTAATTGGCTCTGAAGTATACAATACAATTTTATCATAACTTATCTTCAGTGCTAACTTTCCTATTTATGCACCATACAATGGTCCTATAACTGTGATAGTAATTTTGAAGGTTGCATCAATTCTTTAATTTTTTATTCATATCTTTGAATTATGGTGTTTTCAGTGGTTCAGTATATTCCTGTGGACTGAATGATAGCCATCAACTAGGACAGTCATCTACCATTCCTAAATCCCTCATCCCTAAACAGGTAACTGATCACTAAAGAAAAGTCAGTTGATCCTTAAACTGGAAAAATCAGCTAATCCCTGAATATGTAAAATCAGCTAATCCCAGAACAGGCTAAATCAACTGATCCAAGAAAAAGTTAAATCAGCTGATCCCTGAACAGGTTAAACCAGCTGATCCCTGAATAGGGAAAAAATCAGCTGATCCCTGAACAGGTAAAGTCAGCTGATCCCTGAATAGGTAAAATCAGACTAAGTGAACACTGCACATCCATAGACAGGTAATGTCTACTCATTCTAAGAGGTGTTTTTTTAAATTCTGATGTATCATTACATGTAAAAGCAATGAAAAATATGGAAAATAAAGAAAATTAATGAGTATGATGATGAACAAGGGATTATCTTTTTTTACTTTACATGCAATCTGATTAAAATCAGATCCTTTGATCCACTCTTGTGACCTTTCAATTATCCAATCAAACATTTGCTGGCAAGAATTTAGAAGTACATGTACTGTATCTCAGAATTCACTTACAGAAGTATAAGTCTAACTCTTGGTGATATACGAACGAAAAATTGTGACCTAGTTTCCATAGCTTCTCAACAGAATGACCACAGTCATTTCTGTACAGAAATATATTTAGTATTTGCTTTTATCTTGTTTTCTTAGCTCTTTGATTCGTATGAAACATTTTAAAACATAAGATCTTCTCCACAGCTACTTTCACTTCTACACTCATTTTCTGAATGTCGCTTTAGTACGAGCTCTTTAACTGGTAAAAATTTTAATGAATATTTTAATTAGAAAGTTCACCAGGAGATGACCCTGATGAGCAGGGTTTCTTCAGATCCTTGTGTAGCGATCTACGTGCACGGATCAAAGGATCTGAATTTAATCAGATTGACCTTACATGTTGTATGTTCATTTATTTCTTCTAGTAGAATGTTGTAGTTTACAGAGTTAAATGTAACTTGAATGTTACATGTAGATCTGCTTATGTTTTACAGATGTATGTAAGAGATGAAAGAAATAACCAAGACTGAAAAATTTTTCCTGTGTGTTTTTAGGTGACTGGTAAGAACATTAAGGGGAAGTCTATTAAGGGTGTTTGTGTCGGCAGATTTCACACTGTCCTCTACACCAGTGATGCTGTGTACACGTGTGGGCTGAATGCTGGACAGTTAGGTATAATCCATCATGTTATTATTTTAAAATCAATATTTTATCTGAACTTGAACAAGAAGAAGACGTAATTTTAACAGTCCTCAGTAAAATTTTGATTTAGAAATGTGAAAAATCTTGTGTTCCCTGGTTTACTTAACCATGGTCTGTTAATCTATCTTTTTCAAACTTATGTCTTTGAATCATAAGAGGAAAGATTGAATTTTGGCAAGAGTATTCATTTGCTGGTAAATTATTCAGTAAGATTAGCAATTAGATGACCTTGACCTTGATATGTAGCTTACCATAAAAAAGTTTGCCTGAAATCTTTAAAACGTTGGATGATTCTTGATATTCATCAGGTACTATGAACTTTTGTTACTATTTTTAGGTCAGCCTAAGGGAGCAGAGAAGCAAACACAGTTAAGACAAGTGTCCAACCTTAATCACCCAGATATCTCCATCGTCATGGTGTCATGTTCTGACGCGGCGACTGTGTGTATGACGACGCGTGGTGATATCTACGTCCTGCATGAGTACCAGTGCAGGAAAATTGCTACCAAGTAGGTTGTCTAAAGAAAATTCGTCATACAATAATCCAAAAATTTATTGATTTTAAAACTAGCCTAGACCAATGCTGCTTTTAAAATTATCAATTTGAAAACATTTACAACTTTCAGTGTTAAGTACACAGTACCTGTGTTAAATTTTTAGAAATTTAATTGTGGGATAAAAAGAGTGTGTAATATGCAAATACATGTAGTATATATTTCACGGAGAAAAACTTCACTTCTATGGTTTGAATATAAGTTTTGAATGTATGTATAAACTAAATATTTTTTTTTACAGATGGCAAGAAATCCAGAAAATTTTGGTGTCTGGAGGAAATTTGGACCACATGTCTGACCTGGATGTTCTGAGAGAAAGAGGGGGAACAGAGCTACGCATTCTACTCCTCAATACAAGTGGAAAGGTGAGCAAAAATGTCAAGTAAATGTGTGACCGCTTATAGATAGTTTATCTTGCTACTCAATAGAAGTGGAAAGGTGAGCTAAAAATGTCAAATAAATGTGTGACTGCTTATAGATAGTTCATCTTACTCCTCAATACAAGTGGAAAGGTGAGCTAAAATGTCAAATAAATGTGTGACTGCTTATAGATAGTTCATCTTACTCCTCAATTCAAGCGGAAAGGTGATCTGAAAATGTCAAATAAATGTGTGACCGCTTATAGATAGTTCATCTTACTCCTCAATACAAGTGGAAAGATGAGCTAAAAATGTCAAATAAATGTGTGACTGCTTATATATAGTTCACAGGAATTTTGATTCAGTATTTGCTTTTCACTTTAAAGACCACTGAATTAAGGCTGGTTCATTGCAATTAATCCCATGTAGTTAATCTCATGCAATTTTATTGTATGCAGTTCTCTGTTCACAGACTACAACTCATTGCATACATTTCTTGTATTTTCCTTCCTAAATTGTAAATTTACAACAAAGTTGTATTGAAGAATGCATCCTAACATTCAGACAAGTCAAGCTAAGTTGAACCATACACTTTTTATGAAACATTTGAGCACTTTTATTGTATATATTCATGATATTACAACTAAACAAAAATGTTTAGGTGGTAGTAGTACACATCATTTTAATAGTATAGGCTTTCTTTTTGCTGTCAATTTTACAGGTTTTAGAAATAACCTGCACATTCTGCATATCACAGGCACCAAACTCACTTAGGGGTAAAAAAATAAAGTTTTTGGTGCCTGTGTCCCTTGTTTTAATTCTGATTTGTTACTGCAAAAATATTGCATGAAATAGAGCAGTGCTCTTATATGCATGAAAACTGTTACATGCAACTAATCTTTACCAGGTACACATGCCTCAATTTATACCAGGAGATTAATTGTATGGTATTAATTGCAGTATGTGTACAAGCCTTAATGCAGGCCCATTATCTAAACCTTGATATCTTGTAAATTATTACATGTATTTCAATTCTGATTCAATGATTATACATGTATTTCACCATTTACTATTGTTATAGGTATTTGTCTGGCATGCAGCAAGTCCCAGTCTAAAGAGGTGTCGCTGGGCCATCCGGCGTCAGCTGACCGTGACAGATGTCGCACTAAGTACCAGTAATGTTGCCATAGTAACAGACAATGGGGAGGCTTTCTTAGGCAACTTTGTGGTAAAGAAAGGAGGAAAGGAGACCACACAGACAGCCAAAGGTGAGGAGCAATAGTTAGTAGTCACAGAAATTTAACTAAGATTAGATTGTCTTTTGATATGTTGCAGTCAAAGATGTAAATGTGAAAGATCTAATTTTTAATAAGACTGTAGTCACAGGAAATGAGAGTGTTGAACAGGGGTTTTATTTTAATTTGATATTTTTATTGTTGAGAAAAATTCTCAGTTTAAAAGTTTTTGTCAATCTTGTGAAAAGTAAAATAGTATTAACTTTACTTTTAAATCTTTGATAAATTTTGCTTATTTTCAGACCATGAGACAAATGACTTTGAGTTACGGTTGATTGACCTCCTTCTGAAGGATGAAGCTGAGGATGTCATGCTTCACCGACTTCCTGAAATCCATCGAGGGACACGTATCTTCATGGATCCAAAGGGACATAACTTCTGTGTGTTGCAGTCCCTCCCTAATTCATGGTATGAATTTTGTCAGTGCTAGCAATTGTAGATTTATATTATCTTTAATTACTAAGACATGTTTGTGACAGTATAAGGTTAATTATAGTCAAATTAAATGCAGTAATATGTCACTTTTTTAACCAACCAAAGTGCAACATTTAAGTCAAAGGAAAAAATAAAGAAAGTTAATGCTCTCTAAATGTGTATGGTGAACATTTCAAATACAATTCTGATAGTGGAGTCAGAATTTACTACCTATCCCTGGATAATACAGTGTTCTATGATTTTTTTCCTGCAGTTTAACTGATGTTCCTAGTACCAGCCAATCAGAAATGGTGTTACATTTCAAACAACTTCTAGAGGAAGCTGATGAGTTTGATATGATTCATGACATCGTTCTTAAGGTGAGACTGGAAAAAGTTCACTGACAAAGAAAACCTGTAAGGAAGATTGCTCGCATTTGCAGCTTTATGAATAGTAAAATTTAGATTGAAATTTTCAAAGGGGTGCTTCTCAAGAATTTATATTTCTGATTTGAATTCAATTTTCTTTACTGAATACTGTAAATTCTTTTTTATTTGCAAAAATTTCATTCTCACATATATCTATATGTGATTGAGTATAGATTTTTTTACAATGACCAAAAATTGTGAAAATTTTGTCTCACAAATAAATACCAAATACCTATCTTGTGAAAATAAGTGTCAGAAAAATTTGGTAATTACAGTATATACGTGATCATTGTTTAATTTTTTTTTTCGCCGTAGGTGAAAGGTAGGAGCTGGGCAGCTCACAAGTTTATTCTACTCAGTCGTAGTGACCTTTTCTACAAGCTGATAGCAGAGGTCAAGCGAAGGTCCACAGAGGAGGATCAGACCACCCTGGAAATCCCAGATGAGAACCCCGAGATTTTCCAGCAGATGCTTAACTACATATACACTGACTCATGTGACCTGCTCCAGGTCGGGACTGTGTTTGACTTCAAGTCAGTCCTTACAGAAAAAGATTGCAATGAGAATGACTTTGATGGAGATTATTTAAGCTCCTTCAAGGGTAAATCAGCATTTGAAGTGACACAGAAGAAGAAAGGAAAAGAAAAGAAAAACATGAAAACGGCAATGTCTGAAAAAGATCCAGTAAGACTACTTCAAGACAATGCTAAGAAGTTTGGAGTCAAGGGATTAGCCAAAAGGTGAGTCTTTTAAATTCTGATTCATTCATTAATAAATTGTTTTATTTCACTTTGAATTCAAGCCAATTGCAATAAGCCTGTCCATTAATGTCTTGTATCTTTAGTCAAGCAGTTTGGATTCATAAGCGTTTTATGTACAGATTATTGTAACATTATGTATTTGTTTTTTCTCCTTTAATTGCTGTACAAGAAATGTGACACTCTCCCCATTACCTGTTATTGATAAGATTTTTGTCCTGACAGATTGGACGGTATACAGTGGGTGAATGGACAGATACAGGGAAAATCTAAACAACAGACCAAGGCCCCCCTCAGATATGACCGCTCTAAGCTGTAAGTCTCTTCCCTCTGGAGTGCTACTTATATCAAACCTTCTCTTTAATAGTAAATGAAGTACAAGTACATTGTATTGTAAATTATTACCTTTAGTATGTGTACATGTATTGTACATTTAATGCCTATCTGATATACTAGTTAGTAATGTAAAGTTAAAAAAAAGAACATGTACAGATATATATAGAGAAAATGGATACAGTGAAATCTCGAGTCTTTCGTCCTGACTCGAAAACAATGAATTGTTAACTGGGTATTGTTATTGATATATCAAGCAATATCAAATTTCCTAGGCAGATTTATAAGTAAACATGTTTCACTATAAGTGAATTCTTGTTTGGTTTTTCATGCGATAAACAAAGTCTTATTCTTCTTCACTTGTAGCCTGGATCTCTGTGATGTAACTATTGCTTCTGACGACAGACTCGAGATAAACTGCCACAAGTGTGTGTTGGTAGCTCGACTGGAATACTTCAATAGCATGCTGAGTAGTGGGTGGGTTGAGGTGGGTACAACATAAGTATCTAAATAGAGAGCTGTCTAGTGGTATGGTTATAAAACATTATAGCTATTAGTCTCCTTTAATTCATTGCAAATGTGTAGAAAATTGTTTTATCATAATAATTGTCTTTTATATTTAATGCAAAGTCATTTTAGTTCTTAACATTACTAATCTAGTACGTATGTAATGTATACCAGAATACTACAATTAAATCGATCTAAGGTTTTGTTTCTATGATATGATTATGCATAGGTGAGTAAGACATTTACATGTACATGTATGTTACTTGAATGTTTACCTGGTATTATTGTAGACATGCTCTTTCTATGCCTGAAAGTTACCTGAATGTTTATTTTTATCTGGTATTTTGTAGACAAGCTCCACACAAGCCCTGAAGTTACCTGAATGTTTATTTTTATCTGGTATTTTGTAGACAAGCTCCACTCAGGCCCTGAAGTTACCTGTACCAGGTGATTGTCTGAGAATCCTCATAGATTTCCTGTACACTGACGAAGCCCCAGGTGTGACAGGTAAAATAACTATTAATAGATTATTATCCCCTCGCAACTGTGTATGTTGTAGGGCATATAGTAACATATTACTATAGTATAGTAAAGTGTGTTAGTGGGTGGATGAGTTCATCTGTAACAGAAGTATTTAAATTTTATTTTTATCTTTTACAGGCAGTGAAAAGAAACTGGGGGGATAAGCCGAGCCATATGCCTACATAACGATCGATAAAAAATCAATAAATTCATTTTACAAAAATTTCACTTTTTGTTGAATTAATGTAATGCTTATTACCATTTGCATACAAATTTGACAAAACCTGAATACTGTAACAGTGAAAATGATTCTGATTAACACAAAAAAATGGCATCACGCTCAATTTTCACAAAAACTGACATAAATTGGATGATATAACTACATTTTTTAAATAGAGTGGGTCATCGTACCATTTTTTTCAGAACGATTAATGAAAGGCAATGGAAAGATGTTGCTTTTTACACTTGCAAATATTTGGTACGAAGACCCACTCTACATAAAAAATTAAGTTAACTTACTTAAATTTTCACCGTGGTCTTAAAAAATTCTAAGTCCAAATACGCTTGCTAAATATAGAGAACTGTATGCTATTTAAATGGGTATGTATGTGTGACTCCGTGGGACAGTGGTTAGCGAGGAGCTCTTTAAAGGGACTTTTATTGAGGAAAGTGTTCGAGTCATGCTCTGATTTTTTGATTTTGTTTTTTTTTTGTTTTTTGTTTTTTTGTTTTTTTTTGTTTTCTTTGGTTTTAATTTTGTTTTACTTTATAAAAAATGTCTATAGGAATAACATATTTTTCACTGGAAATAAAATATATACATGTAGTAATGAACTTATTTACAGTAAATTATTTAAAATGCCGGATAAAAATTATAATAGATATTTGAATACTTTTATTCCCGTTCTTATTTATTTTAAATAAAAGCGCTTCTAGATCACCATTATCATTATAAACGATGTTAACATTTTTATAATATCTCCACAATAAGTGTAAACACTCAATATGCAAATTAATTAATAGAAGTCCTTACCCATGTTAGACATTTGTGACAGTAAATGAAAGTCAACTGTTTAGCTTGTTTAGAATATACATATCATTTTGAAAACTACGGTAAACGTTAAAATGCTTAAGTAAACTCGAACAATTGAGAGATTTTTTCCAATAAATGTTCTTGCATAGCCGAAAAATGGGCATGGGCACATGGCACGTCTTATCCCCCCAGATTCTTTAGAGTTGATCTTTAATGTAGTTTTATGGTTGTTATTTTTATGTTTTACAGGCAGTGAGAATTTAGAGTTGATCTGTAATGTTCTTGTAATGGCTGATCAGCTGTTGGTGACCAGACTTGTCCAGATCTGTGAGGTCACACTGAGTGTACTTGGTAAGCTGTTAATCAATTAAACTTACAACTACTGTAGACTCTAAGTATTGAATCAATTGGACAAATTAACAAACCACATACTGTAGACTTTAAGTATTGAATCAATTAGACATAAGAGCAGACTTAACACGTAACATAGACTTTCACACTAAGTATTGAGTCAATATTTACTTTAATGTTTCCAGTGACTATGAAGAATGTAGGTGAGCTGTTGGAGTTCTCCACTCTGTACAACGCTGAGCAGCTTAAGGCCGTGTGTCAACAGTACATTCTCATCAACTTACCGGCCATACTGGAGGGAAGGTGAGTTTGTCCCCCAAAAAGGGTGGATTATTTGATCAACCTACCAGTCATATTGAGATTGTCCCTCAAAAAAAAGGTTTGATTGCTCATGCTACATGTGCCATAATTATAATGTCTGCATTTTAAGTAAATGTGAATTCACTCAATAAGATTCCAAGGGGAGAGGAATGAATTTTGATTTTAATTACTGTTTGCTTTTGTTTGGTAGAATTTTGGACATTCACAGATGTGGCAATTTAAAATGTAGAAATAAACCTAAAACAGATTACATGTAGATAGGAGCTTGACCTTGAATCATAATCACATTTATCATTACTTTTTCTTCTTTTTACAAATCAGTAATTGACATCAACCTATAGACATCAACCTGTAGACATGTACAGGTTCCATGTAACACTTATCTTTTTATATATGAAGGTTATCTAAATCCTGTGAAGTTTGTTTGCCATGAAAAATAATGTGTTTAACAAGAAATATTGATTACTTGTGTGAATTTCTCCTCATGTTGTACAATATGTGTCAGAAAATACAATAATCACTTTTTTTTTTTTTAGATATTTAGATATGATAAGTGATGAAGTGATGGCTGAGCTTACAAGATATTACCATAACAAGGTACAGCTTACAAGATATTACCATAGCAATGTACAACTTACAAGATATTACCATAACAAGGTACAACTTACAAGATATTACCATAACAAGGTACAGCTTACAAAATATTACCATAACAAGGTACAGTTTTACTAGATATTACCATAACAAGGTACAACTTACAAGATGTTACCATAACAAGGTACAACTTACAAGATATTACCATAACAAGGTACAGTTTTACTAGATATTACCATAACAAGGTACAACTTACAAGATATTACCATAACAAGGTACAACTTACAAGATATTACCATAACAAGGTACAGCTTACAAAATATTACCATAACAAGGTACAGTTTTACTAGATATTACCATAACAAGGTACAACTTACAAGATGTTACCATAACAAGGTACAACTTACAAGATATTACCATAACAAGGTACAGTTTTACTAGATATTACCATAACAAGGTACAACTTACAAGATATTACCATAACAAGGTACAACTTACAAGATATTACCATAACAAGGTACAGCTTACAAAATATTACCATAACAAGGTACAGTTTTACTAGATATTACCATAACAAGGTACAACTTACAAGATATTACCATAACAAGGTACAACTTACAAGATATTACCATAACAAGGTACAGCTTACACGATATTACATGTACCATAGCAAGGCACAGGACATTAAAAAAGATAAGAAACTTGCAGTGTTTAGTATCAGTGTGGTTGATGGATCCTTAATGTCACATAGTAATTGAATATTGTCCACACTCAAAGGTCTCATGACTAGCTCTGTATTTGGGACATCTTTTTAATATGAAATAGTTGAAGGAAGTTCACCAAACATTATGTATATATTAGCATCATACTAATGAGTATGTTTAAGTAAGTAATGCATGTTTTAGAAAAAACCACTGCTTGGACTATATACATGTATGTATGTGACAGAGTTGCATGTACATAGACTATCCCTATTATGTGTTTTGACAGGTTCCCTCTATGAGCAGACGTGTCATCACCCCATTTTCAGATGGTCCCTCTAAATCCTTCCTGGAGGAGCTGACAGAGGACACATCACAGATCACCGAGGGACTGATGGGGGATTCCTCAGGGAAAAAATCAAAGCCCAAAAAGAGACGTAACAGGGTCAAAAGTGTGTCGGAGGATGAAGGATGGAGAGATAGCCGAACAGATGACAGGAGAGAGAGAAGGACAGACAGACAGATATCCATCAGCTCAGAGAAAAGTCTGGCGTCAGATGAAGAGGAGGAACAAAAGCTGGCAGTCAGTCCTCGTGATTCCCAGGTAATTAAACACTAATTATTCTACCTGAAGAATATAATTGTAATGCTGTGAAGTGCACTGTACGACTGATGTTCAGGAACAAATTCAAAATGCTAAAATCCATATCCAAATAGTAATAAACCATTTTCACAGATAAATATAGATTTGGTAATTCAAACTTCCAATGCAGCAGTGAAATACATTACAGAACTTAATACATTTAAGTAGGGGAATCATTATTCTACAGATCTCTGCCATCTTCTAATTGCTTTTGGAAGAAAGGGTGACTGCACTTAAGGATATGCGAAATTTGCAAGAATGGTCAACATCCAATTTACAACTTTATGTAATTACGTTTTATAAAAGTGTGTATTTACGAAGTTCGAATCTGTTTTCAAAGGCAGGGGTCATCACAATTTCTTGAATCTCCGTTCGATAATGAGAACGCCCACTTTTTTCCTGACTTCATACATAGTCAGCGCATGTTTGTCTATTGTTCTCCGTTTAACAGTAGTTGTATATTTGCATAAATAATAATGTGTCAAAAGGAGATTAATAGACAAACATGCGCTCATGGTTAAAAAGAGAAAAAACTGCTTCTTCTTACATTCGCTCTCTGTGTTGTAACCAATGGTTGTGACATGTTGAATATTATAATTCACCACGTGATTTCGTACCTCAGATAACTTTGTGAATGCTAAATTCCGTCACGTGACTTGTAAGGTAGCATGTTTTGTGCTAACTAGGACATTGTGTTCAAACACGTTAAGTCAACTGGCATTGATATACAATCTGCTTTAATTACATTGATGTGCTCCTATTGTTTATTTCGTTTTGAAACCTTTGTCAGTAGTGTTTTTGTGCCATGCAGAATAGAGAGGGAGATTGGAAAGAGTGATCACATTCTTTTTTTCAAACAAGTCATTGTTATTTATCAGTCTAATTTTAGACCCATTCATACAATGTTAGCTCCACCTCTCATGCATATCTTATGATCAATCAAGGGCAGGTAAGTGTAAATTCACTATATTTGGAAAGCAGTAAGGACAAAAAACATTGAATCATTTTATTGTATCACAGTCTAAAATCATTTTAAGATTTAAATTTGGTTCCAAATTGACAGGATTCTTTTATAAACATACAAAAGTGAGATCAGGTTTAGATATAAAAGTAACAGAAGCAACCGAAAAAGACCCAAAAACCAGCGTTAAGTGCAGTCATCCTTTATGACTGATAAATAAGGAATAGTGATAGCTTTAGGATAAATGAAATATCCAGGGTAAGAGACTAAGAATTTCAATTTAGGAGTTGACAAGCAAACCCTCAGAATCAATAACCATTCCAACAACAAAAGGAAGTCAACAAGAGTCACATCATGGATCCTGGACAGTTGCACCAAAAAGTCCACTTGTCTCCCCTGGGAGTTTCTCAGAAAAATCATTTGCTACATCACCACCAGGCATTAGTCTCAAAGAAATCATGGAAGAAGAAAAATCTAGTCAGCAACAAAAGTCAGTATCTTATTGAGACTTACAGCAAAAATATCTTTACACTTATCATTTACCAAAAGAATGTATTTTTTTTTATGGTAATTCAACTTTGATAAGAAAACTTTAATGTTTGTTTGCATCACATTTACATTAGACAAAAAGAATGCCTTGCTTTTGTTTGTGTATAGATTTATGTTCAGTTACCAACTCAGTTCCATAATTAAATATTCAAAGATACATCTAGAAATGTTCTGTAATAATACAGCAATGGTCTGTTCACTAATACAGGATGATTTTGATTTTATTTTAGAGTTCAGCTTAAAAACAAGAAGTTCTCTTGGAAAGATGTAAAGAGACAGCAAAACCAGGAGAGGAAATCTCAGAGTAGAATCAGAGAGGGGGGTCAGGACCCCCAGACCCTCCCCACCACCCAGGGGACTCCACAGACAACCTCAGCCAAACCTGCCTGGTACTACTTATTCTTGTGTGTTTGTAATGTGTGGGGGGAAATGTGACAGAGCTTAATTTTTAATTTAAAATGAGGGATAGTTGCACCATTGTGGGGGCAGTGTTTTTGTATACTGTGTAATCATAAAAATTCAAGGGGGCCTATTTTTGTAGACTGTTTAAATTTTACAGGTTTGTGGGGATGTAATTTCGTGTATTCTCTTACATGTAAAAAAGGAAATATGACTTTTAACCCAGATGTATGAATTCAAGTAGGATGCTAATTCGTGTATGAGAGGTACCCACAAATTCCACGAAAATTCAGCCACCACAAGATTTAATGATTCCACAGTAATTGTGCAAATTCACCTGGAAAACATTTTTAAGACTCCATTTTTGAGTTCATTTTATGGGATAAACTCTGAAATAGGGAGGGTGTTTGTATATGTGTTACACATTAAGAACTGACATCTGTTTTAGGGGAGATGTTTGTGTGTGTATATATATATATATATATATATATATATATATATATATATATATATATATATATATATATATATATATATATATAGGGATGTCAATTTTGTCAATAATTCATATTCGAATATTCAATGAAAGTATTCGAATATATTCGAATATTCGATAAAATAAATAAAATTTGGTTTATTTTAAATATGCATCATCCTATACTTTCAGGAAAGGTTTAGCGTAGGTATTTTTATATTGGAAGTAAAATCGTATGAAGACTTTTGTAAGTGTTCAATAAGGAACTCCATTTAATATTTGTCAATGTTTGAAATAAGTAATTGATTTAAATGTAGAAAAGTATAACTTTAACAAAAGATACGTGTTTTGTAGTAGCTCCAACTAAGGAACCAGTCGTTTTACCAAAGGCAGGATAGTCGTATACTGTTCAGATTTCAATATGTGTAATTAATTACAATTATCAGCCTAATAAGTGATATGATTGTAATGTTTGATACAATGTTTTTTTAAATATATACAAACACAAAGACAATTTCCCTGGGTAATTAATTAATTTCCTGATAATGAATATAAAATTCAGGATTATATACAACCCGAGATAATAATTTATTCTGAAATTGAGCCCTTTACAATATTAATAACAGACTAATTCTATCGGACATTCATTTGAATGATCAATTAAATTTGTTTTGATAAGTATACTCTTCACGTCTTTTAAACATTCGAAGAACGTTTAAAATAAACTTTCATTTTGTTGCCCTCGATTCTAGATCTGATCGTATTTAACTAATAAAAACTATGAAAGCACGTTTTGTATTATACATAAAACATTATTGTACAATTCTTTAACTTAATTCTTTAATTTAGTACATCTTTAAGATAAGAAAGTAGTGAAAGAAATCAGGCGATCGAAATTGATCGCTAGTAAATTAAACAGGGCTTATTTCAGCACTGTTCTAATCAAAATTTATTATTCACAGTACACCTTTTTATGAAATCTGAAAAACACCGAATATTCGAATCTTAAATTCATATTCGAATATCAACTCATCGAATGAATATTCGAATGTTCGAATATTCGTTGACATCCCTAATATATATATATATATATATATATATATATATATATATATATATATATATATATATATATATATATATAATGGATTTTAGGGGAGGTGTGAGTCAGACAGTGACTTCCTTCAGAGATCTGATAACAGAGGACAGGAACCAGAGCTCTCAGACAAAACAACATGCTACAATGACTACTCCCCAGACAAAACAACACCCTACAATGACTACTCCCCAGAAAACACAGAAACATGTCCTCAGGTTCATTGTTATTCTCCATTTTTCAATTAAAAAAAAAAAAGAAATAAAAATAAATGCATATATGTCCTCGGGAATCAGCTTTCTCTACATATCTCTATAATTGTCAGTTAAGAATTAATACCTTAGATTTATGATTGCAGATGGGGACTTCCCCAGGCCTCGGGCCCACAAAAGCCCCCCAGTCAGAGATCTTTGGATGAGTCCCCTGCTACAAGTCCCCAGTCTGTTGATAACCCCTGGATCAGGGCCCCGAGTGTCCAGTCCCCTACAGGGGCCTCTGTTAGCTTCTCCGACATTGTCCAAGACGAGATACAGAAACGAGAGAGTCTAGCTCGAGTGACCAGTAAACCACTTGGGCTAATACAGGTAAAGAAGACTATTGTTGTAATTCTTTTTTTTTGTTTACGGTATCTCTATTATTGATGTAAAGAAAAGTTTTGTTATTAGCATATGCATTTAATTCTTTAATTTTAGAAAACCATTAACATTTTTTTAATTCAATTTCGTATGAAATTGTTTACTGTTAAAAGCAGAGGGGTAGAAGGTACTGTTTTGTTAGCATTTTCAACAAATTGTTAAAAAATATATTTGCAATCAAAATACGTAAAATTTGGATTTATGTGCATGTAAATTACCGTTTAAATTTTTTTCATACAAATAATTCCTTAAACAAAATTCTGATTTCCATACATATGAAAAAAGACATGGCATCTTGCTCTAAATATCAATTTTTTATGCATGTATTTTAAACTCATGGATAATGAGTATCTAGAAAATGTACAAAACTTGATTCACTTGGGACATAATAACTTCAAATCATCTGTATTGTCAGACAACCTAAGACTGGAATTCAGTAGATATGTATAGAATTTTCTTTTTTTTTCTGAACAGATAGAGGAGCTGGCCATACAGGAGTTACTACAGCATTACAAGGCCTCAGACAGCACAGAGGAGCACATCACAGTAGAGAGGGTACCCAGGGAAATGGCCACACCCCTGTGGACCTCCAAATCCAAATCTGTTTCACTCCAGTGACTGTGATACAGCATAGGGGTACACTTTACAGTAGAGAAAGTACCCAGGGAGATGGCTAGCCCTACTGTTGATCTCCTTATCTAAATCTGTCTTGCTCTAGTGAATGTTCTTGAATGTTTGTTAAAACTTGCCAATGAACTGCCAATAAAACATAAGTGCTACATGTGTATAAAGTGCTACATGTGTATAAAGTTCTCAATCTGTGAAAGCATACATTAAAAGATTTTTTTATACTAGTATCACCATGAAATATATTAAAAAGATAAATTTTAAATGATGTTGATATAAATTTTCCTTTATTATTTTAGGTCTTTTTTTGCCATACATGATACGTTTTCAGATATTTATTCATACTGGAAAGAAATCATCATGAATGTGGTCTTTTAAATTAAATATTGAATAATGCTGATGAAGATTTATTCTTTGCACCTGTTACAACACTAACACATCTACAAGTCCACTTAAAATATGGATGGATTCAAGTCAAGGTGTGTAACAAAGGAAGTTTTGTTATTATATTGTTTTAGAATTCAGTTATCTTAAAATCAGTTTTTGCCACCAACTGAAAAATTAAAAATCGAAATTTTAAATCGTTTAGGTGAGAGAAGACGTTTTAATTTTTATCCCACAAAAATTCTGATCACACATTTCATCTTTTCTTAAAAAAGATGGAGAAATTGATTTTAAGAAGTACATATATTCTCAAGTTGTGTAAGTTTCTTCAAATCTTGGTTTCCAAGATTAAGGTTACATGTAGTCATACTGTGATATATGATACCTATAGAACTAGTTGTTCCCTTTATCAGGAGACTTGTTTTTGTATTCTTATGAAGTAGAGTTCATTTAAAAAATCTCTTAAAACATCTGAAAGAATTCTCTTGCTGTGACCTTCAATCCAGCCTTTATAAATACAATGTATATTGGCACCGTTTTAAAAATTAACAATACAATAGAGACATTTTATTCATATGTTTATTCATTATATTCATTTGAATTCTGCACAAGACACCACCTTCTCTGAAATATTTTTTTTTATATTTAGATGTTTTACTAGAAAAACATGGATGAAAAACTACTTGACTTTTAGGTAAAATTGATGACTTCAACCTTTCTTTTGTCAACGCTATACATATGTAATATGATAGCCTGCATATATTTTATTTCTGTACTAAGTTGATTTGATACCCAAAAAACATGTTCTATGTGCGACCAATTTCTAAAACAACACAGGCTACTATCCACTAAGTTGACGACACAAGGGTATCAACAATCTTGAAGACCACATTTAGCGACTGCTGTGGACAATTACAATGATCCTGTTATCAAAAACAACCTCTTATTAGTTGAATGCTGACTGACGTTTTTTTTAATACACAATGTACATATTGATTGGCCAAGACTTTCTTATTGAAAGGGCTACGTATTTCTTCTATACTTAGTGTAGACAAAGTCTAGACGTGTGACCAGTCGACATTGAATGCTTATCCCTTCCATGGTACCCGATCCGTTCTCTGGTTCTACTTTACCCTCTCAATCTGTGTTAAGTAATTCAATTTTTACGCATGATTAGTATTCGTTATCTTCACATACTAGAATCATAGACCTGTCTGCTGATATATCTATATACACACACTTTGTTATTATTCCATGATCCAACCCAAAAACAGTGAGTTTTGTCATCATAACTCAGACTCTGTGGTCTGTACAGCTCCTGCTGTTGTGTCTCTATCAGTGACAGAAAGTGACCATCCTTGTCAATCATTTGTACTGTGTGCGTTTTAAGGTCACATACTAAGATGTGTGACAGGGCATCCGTACAAATTCCACGTGGTCGTATCTTTATTCGTGATGTTGATGGAGTTCCTGTGTAGGAGAAGCGATGTCTTCCTCCACGCTCTGTCACCACTACACCACGATTCCAGTCCGACACAATAACATCTCCATTGCGGTTCTCTGTGACGTAGATAGGTTCTCTATACAGTTCCTGACTTCTGTTGTCATATTGTATTGTCTTTATGTGTTGTCCTGTGTTTTTGCAATGGGTTACCTTGGCTGTATACTCATCAGTGTTATACATCACAACCAGTAGATCTCCATTTGAGGGAGAACAGTAGACACAGCGTGGTATCCAAGGCTTTGTTTTCTTTGTTCTGTAATCTCTAGAAATTTTGCTGATGTTATGGTCCTTGTCGATATTAATAAGGTCACCTAAAATATTCACTGTATGCACTCCGTAGTGACGACTTATATCTGTTAGATGATGTAGTTTGTCACCCTCTTTGTTTGACAAGATGAGATTATTATTCCAATCACTAATCCAGACCTGGTCTGATGTCACATGGGAAATGTGCTTTACATCACTAATACCTGTTACTGTGACAGATCTATGTAATATGGGTGAAGACATCTGTTTCAGCAGTCTCACGTTTCTTATTTGTCCTGTGATTTGGATTTCACTGAGTAACTCATTCACATCCTCCTTGCTGATTTCTTCAGTCAGGGGGAGTTGGATGTGTTGCAGAAGATTAGGAGTATCATTTATCTTCGAAACAAAGGGTTTCTTTTGGAATGAAAGGAATTGTATTGGTCTGTTTGCGGACTGTTCAGATCTTTGTTCATAATTCTCTATACTGACAAGGAGTCTGTTCATTTTTCTGAACTGTTGATTTAATTTAAGAATAAAATGTTGATGTCTCATTTTGATGTCACACATCATATTGTTAATAAGACCCTTCAATCTGTGGGCTTTTATAGTCATTTCTTTTTGATAGTTGTAGATCTCTGTGTGACTAACTTTTACATTAGTTTTGATTTCTGATAGAATAAAGCAGCTACTATAGAGAGTTTCACTTCTGATTCTGGAAATAATTTTTCTGCATTGTTTACGCTTTGTTTGATACGATTTTCTGATGTCCAGTATGTTATGTTCCTTCATTTCTGTACTTTGATAACAAACAGGAAATAGTATGCGTTCCCTGTGTTCGATACACTGCTCACAGACAGGCAATTGACATGAAATACAGAACATTTCATAGATTCTGCCTGGATGTCTCTCACAGATCTCTTGTTTTAAGAAAAATTCGTATTTCTCACGATAAACCACAGCATCATGGTATACAGTATCTAGGTCAATAACATGTCTTTCTTTACACTGTAGACACAGGTTATGTTTACATGTGTTACAGTAGAATTCTGTGTCTTTCTGACATTCAGAACACTGTCGTACTTTAAACACGGTGCTGAATCCCAGAATGTCCATGATGAAGACGGTCAAGATCTTTATGAACAATCTTCTAAAATAAAAGATTATACAGAAAGTTGAAGTGTAGAAGCTTCTCAAAAATATAGTCTCTTTTCTGATATAAATTCATTTCTTCTTTCTTTTTCATTCATTTATTTATATAAATATCATACAATGCATTCAAATATATAAGGGTTCAATAATTTTAGCCATAATATTTTCACACATCTTGTAGATCTGATATCGTTTACTAAGAATCTTTAACACTACCATAACATGCATAATTTCAATATAGGTTTGAATAAAGAAAAATTACGTCATTAATAATTCCGAAACATCTGTAAAAATCTTGTACATAATAAACAGTGATGGATGTTGTAAATGACGGAGCTATTTTATATAAGTATTTAAATTAAATACCAAAAAGAAAACAAGCAATGACAAAAGAAAAAATAAATCAAAAAATCTTACAGGATGGCATTTTTACTATGTAATTAATTCCTATGTTTCTATATTTCATATAATATTATTCACATTTGTATACTGTAGATAGCTAAATTTTCGCAACGCCATATTTTCGCGAGATAAACATGTACTCTTTATGAGCGAAACAAATTCTCAAGAATCGTGGTTACTTCTCTCTATACTCTTTAGCAGTACCAATATACGCGAGAATTATATTTTCACAAGCACGCTGTTTCGCGTAATTACGCGAAAATAAACTCTCGAAAAAAAGTGATTTACAGTATAGTGTTGGAGTGAGAATTTGTATTTAAAAAAGGACCCCATCAAATCCCCCGCCACTTTTTCTGGGGGTCAGGTCACCTCCAATACGGGTAATTCATTTACATTTGTGAAATAATGTAAGAGTATTTCAAAAGGAAATAAAATTACAATATGTATTGTCAAAAAATCAATTCCCTTACCCTTATGTGTGTGTTTTTATCAGCCTTAAAAACAACAAAAAATAGGGAATTGTAGATAAAAAAGTGTATTCTTTACAAGAACAGAAAATGATTGTCAATGTCTAAATATTAAGCTAAGTACATGCAAATTATAAATCAGCATTTGCCATACGAGAAATTTTCTACAAAGTTAATTGTTTGTTTAAAAAGTTTTTGTAAAATATCTACTTTAGTTTCTCCCTTTGATTAGCGATCTGGAAAGTCTTATTATATGTACATGTAAATATAAATTATGTGGAAATATAAATTCTTTTCAAAATATTGACCCATTATCATGCAGAATCTTGATGCTGATATTATATAGGCAATCTTTACCATTCATGTTTCATTTCTGTTCTTAATGAGGGCAGTTCAAAAATGATTCATTTGCAAGCAATTTTATACTAGATATAAAAGGTCAGCATTGATCTATATGATGTTTCTTTCTAATCCCAATAAAATGGAAGAAAATAAAACAGGTCTATCCCGAATATTTTTTCGATATCATGAAATTATCACTAGTTCTAAAATTAAAAAAAAAAAATCAGTTGTATATGTACATGTGTAGTAAAATTTAAGGAGTGACAATTAAAACATGAAAAAGTAAAAGTAGTTTTCTTACCGTCAGATTTCACTCTCGTAACAGTTTGATCAGAGGAAAGTTTTGGTTCTTCTTGTGAGAAAAAAGTAACTTTTAATTTCAAATGAATGATTTTATAAACCGTATTTTCAGAAAAGGATAACAAAAATCATAAATATTCACGAGAAGACGCTCTAAAACAAACTGCTGAGGAAAAAAAATACAAAGCCATTTTGGTGAACAAACAATTCTTCTTACTCGGATATACATGTATCTAAAATATAACAACAAAATTCCAAACTCTGTCTTCCGTTACAAAAGCTCACAAAGATCGTAAATAAACATGATATCATGATACAAAGCGACCATTTAAATCAGGATTAATTTAAATAAAGTTCCCAAAGAAAGTATTAAAGTGTTATTTTTAATCTTTGTGGACATTTAAAGAGCAGAAAGTAACAACAATAACCTTAGTTAAGACGGATCGGAGGTCCTGGCCATTTGTAGGCTATTTATACCTTCTTTGAATTAAAACCTTTAACACAATCCAAATCAAAAATAGAAAATCAAAATTCCTT